AAGATGTCCTCAGGTGAGGATATGAATTAAAAAAAAAAGAGTAACTTTATACTGGAGAAAGCTGACAATACTGCTTAGCCAGGTGATCAAGGTCAACATCAAGTTGATAATATGTACCTTTGAAAGGATATGATGAAAATGGCACCTCTGTAGTCTTCCTCCCCCAACCATATAAGCCCAGTCAAATAAGCCCAGTCAAATCATGGCAAAAACATTCCACAATTCCAGTAGAAGTCATAACCAAGAGGCACTTAAGAATATATGACAACTAAATGTAGTAGTATGTTCTAGATGGGATCTTGGAACAGAAAAAAAAAGCATTAGGTAAGAACTAAGGAAATCTAAATAATGTATGGGTTTTAGTTAATATAGTGATATTGGTTTCTTATTATTAATGAATCTACTACACTAATGTAAGATATTAAAATATGGGGCCTTGCAGACACCGTCGTACCGGAACCGCTCGAGCCCAACCATGGTGAACCCCATCGTGTACTTCGACATCGCTGTCAGTGGCGATCCCTTGGGCCATGTCACCTTCGAGCTGTTTGCGGACAAAGTTCCAAAGACAGCAGAAAACTTTCGTGTTCTGAGCACTGGGGAGAAAGGATTTGGTTATAAAGGTTCCTCCTTTCACAGAATTATTCCAGGATTTATGTGCCAGGGTGGTGACTTCACACGCCATAATGACACAGGTGGCAAGTCCATCTATGGGGAGAAATTTGATGATGAGAATTTCATCCTGAAGCACACAGGTCCTGGCATCTTGTCCATGGCAAATGCTGGACCCAACACAAACGGTTCCTAGTTTTTCATCTGCACTGCCAAGACTGAGTGGTGGGATGGCAAGCATGTGGTCTTGGGCCAGGTGAAAGATGGCACGGATGTTGTGACAACTATGGAGAGCTTTGGGTCCAGGAATGGGAAGACTGGCAAAAAGGTCACCATTGCTGACTGTGGACAACTCTCATAAATTTGACTTGTGTTTTATCTTAACTACCAGACCATTTCTTCTGTAGCTCAGGAGAGCCACCCCTTCACCCCCATCTGCTTGGAATGTCTGTAATATTCATGCTCTTGCCGCAGTTTGTTGAGTTCCATGTTTTCTTTACTCTTTCCAAGTCTAGCTGGATTGCAGAGTTGAGTTTATGAATAGGAAATAAAAACTAAACAATTGTCAAAAAATAAAAATAAAATATGGGACATGTCTGGACTATCTTTATAAATGAAATTATTCTGATCAAAATTTAAATTTTATTTTATTTACAAAACAAAAGAGAAAGAGAGCCATCTGTTCTCTCCTTTAAATGCTAGAAATTCAGTTTTGTGTGACTAAAGATAATATAAAGTTAGAGTCCTCTTAGGGTGGCTGTTATTGACCCATAAGACCCATTGACTGTTATTGACCCATAAGGTATTTTTGGTTGTTGGAAAAAATCACTATCTTTTCTAGAGAGTCTTTGATTACAACTGTTTTAAACCTAAGTCTGAAGTTGACTCTTGTTAAGGAAAGACATTTAGTGAGTATTTATTTCCTCAAACAGAATTCTTAAACAATACTTTTAAAATAATATGTGTATTCTATAACTTTGCCATGGTATAAAATATTTCATCACATCATAGGAATATTCCTAACCTAACACACTTTTTAGTAGCATTCCTTAAAAATGCTCATTCCCTCACTGAATTTAAACTAATATTTTATTGAGACCACTTAAGGATAACTTGAAGTGCCCCTCTAAAATATTTTTTTCATTGATTCTTTCTAAGAACAGAGTAAAGTGGCTTTGATGCTATAAAGACTTTTTATTCCTGTATTGCTATCATACATCCTGATTTACTGCATCTATATCTAGTTAGATAATACATTTTCTTCCACCTTTAGTGGGGTGAAATTCATTTATCTTCTAATCAAGGAAAATGAGTTAACTCCTAATAACCTCTGATACTTTACAACAACTGTACTTTGGAATTAGTCATCCATCTTTATTTCATAGTCTCTTATTTATCATTGCAATATAGTAGTACAGCAGTATTCTACAGTGACATGTACTACCAGTGGAATTTCATTGTAATAGCATTGTTTTAAAATCTATTATTTGATTTTGACCTGGCTAGCACAGATCAATATTTTCCCCTGTAATTTCAGCCAGGCACATCTAACCACAACAGTCAAGTGCTCTGTTAGCTTCCTTACAAAATTGTGATGGGCTTATCAAAGAACATACCAATTAATAATTCGATGTCATCCATAAAGGATCAATTTTTCCATTTTTTATCTCAAATATTTTTAAGTAAAGGAGAATATTGGGTCTAGATTTCAAGGTTTGTTTTTCTGTACTCCTTAAATAATTTTACTGAACCTGAGTCTCATTTTTCTAATATGTAAAATGATTGTTATGAGGATATACTACAAAAAAATGTAGTGCTTAGCATAGTAGTCATTCTAAGTGATTACATAGTAATCATTCCACAGAGGCAGCTCTTGTTATTTTTGTTATGTGCAGTGCTCTGTGTTGCTTCAGATGCTATGTGAAATAGCTGTGTCTTGGGAGGTAACCCACATATATTGTACAAGGTTTGCTCTGCTTGATTAACAAAGCAGCAGAGAGAATGCCTCTTCTTTGGTACCCAACATTCACTGAATATGGAGAGTGTTTGGCATTAATCCTAAGTCTTTCAAGTGTCTTTGTAAATAGAAAAAGTTATAAGCAAAATATAAAAGGATGATGTTATTTATCGCTAACAGAAGCAGCCGTATTTTAGCAATCTGTATTGAAACTAGTTGAAATGACTAATACAGTGACTTATAGGAGCTTTCCGGTGGAAAGCTAATGCACAAGTGAAATAGTATTTATTAGGCAATAGTGATATGCCTTTTATTGGTTGGACTCTGGTACCTGACAACAAATGGTACTTTTACCCGAGAGACACGTGTCATGCACCACTTAGTCTAACCACAAGCATTAAACGTCTATGTAACTGTAAGCCACAAATGAAAATACAAAAGACAGTTCTCATAGAATCACATAAGATTCAAACTACTTCTTAATTTAAATATATAAGAATGTAAAGTTTAAGTGACTATAATGGTTTTATATCCCTATGTATGTAACGCAGAAATTGTGGAAACACATATAATCTATTCAAATGTAAAGCAATGAAGGACTTTTACATCACCTTGTATTTATAATACCTACTATTCATAAAATCTTACATTTCCTCACCAAATATATTTTTCTAAGAATGGCCTTGCCTATTTACCCCAGAAAAACATACTGTTTATAACTTGAATGTGATAGTCACAACCAAACATTTTCTTTTTGTATAGGTACTTTGGCCATAATTTATACACAAAACTTATGCCAGCAAGTGCAGTTCTGATCTCAATAGATAATAAACATGAACAATGTTCAACTTCCAGTTTTTTATGTAAACTTTGCAGATTTAAAATCTTATATTTCATTTTGTGGCCCTACTGAGTTGGCTATCTTTTACTTGGGTTGCCTAAACTTAAGGTTAAGATTCCACAAAAGCATTTTGAGAATGATGAGGGTAAATTTAAGAACCCATTTTATAATGAAACATGGCGTTAAGTATTTTCAAGTTCATCCATACAGCTTTTCACCAAGTACTTTATTTCCCCTTTGCCAAAACCCACCCCACATGCCACCCATACCACCTCATTTTAGTAAGTTTCGTCCATATCAGGTCTCTTGCAGGAGTTTGCAAGGATAAATAAGTGTTGGTTCAGTTAGTGTGGCCATAGCCATACTAAGGTATTGGCTTTGATTCTAGATATGTTTCCTAACTAATTTTCTGTAGCAAAAGTGCTAAGGACTGGAATTCCCCCTCTGAATCTCTTTCTAAAAATGGGGTTCAGAAAGCACAGGGAATTCCATCCAGTCCATTTGGGGACTCAGACAACTAACTGTGTCTTGTCATAGATATAGCTAGAGGCCTACTATGATACACATAATCAACTGGCCTTCTAGCGTGTTAATAATAGGCAATGCTGATTTACTATAACCCAATACAGTTTCACACATAAGGAGAATCATTAAGGTTTCAGAAATGAAAGTTCTATCTGCTCTAACAGTATTTTGAAGTGATCAGTAGTGGTACAACTTAAAAATTTTAAATTTAATCCCTAAAATTCAAAGTGATTTCTTTTAATACCACGCACATACCTAGTATTAAAAAATTGAAAGATGAGCCCTGGCCGGTTTGGCTCAGCGGTTAGAGCGTCGGCCTGCAGTCCTGAGAGACCCGGGTTCGGTTCCCGCTAAGGGCACGTACTTCGGTTGCAGTTTGTCCCCGGCCCTGGTTGGTCGTGCGGGTGGCAGCCACTCGATGTGTCCCTTTCACGTCGATGTTTCTCTCTTTCTCTCCCTTCCTCTCTCTCCCTCCCACTCTATCTGTACAAAAAATATCCTCGGGTGAGGATTAAAAAATAAATAAATAAATAAATAAATAAAGCCAGAATCCTCTTTAAAAAAAAAAAAAAAAAAAAATTGAAAGATGAGCATGCAAAACGAAATAAAATTTAATTAAGTTTAGCTGAGTTTGGGAATCCTCACTACCCTCCCACATAAAGCGGTAAAACATGATGACAGGCATTTAATATCATAGGCGTGATTATTATTGAGCAGAAAATATCACCACCATTTATTTTCTGACATATCCCTAGTTATTTCTGAATTTACAAGAAGATACACTGGTTTAATTTAGCTCTGAAAATTTTCTTGATTTTCCTTATTGAGTAAAAAAAAATTGAAGTGTGAAAGACTGAAAACTATAGCCCACCAATGTTTAATCATTAATAGTGAGCCCTTTGGTGAACTTAGGTCCTGATTTTGGAGTTTGGAATCTGACCTTTCCCCAAAGATAAACATTATCATTGCAGGTTCTAAGGAGGGACATTCCCTCTCTGCCATCAGGAGAGTCCACATCTTAGTGACTCCTTGCTGGGTGCTGAATGCATTAGAGGGTGGCTGGTCAATATGATTCTTCTTGCTGTGCTTTTTCTCTGCTTTATTTCCTCATATTCGGCTTCTGTTAAAGGTAAGTTGGTGTTGCCTTTTGCCAAACTTTAGTTTTAATCACTGAGGGGAAAGTGTGTGTGTCTGTATGAATAAAGAGTGTCTAACTAAACCATCTTCAAAACCATGTAACTATGGAATGTTTGTGAAGGCATGACTGGGTTAGAATGAGAACCAAGTTCAGATTCCTCCATACATTAAGAAAACAGAGGTTTCTTTTAGTTTCAGTTCTCAGATTAGCGTGCTTCTTGCTTCAATTTCTCATTCAGGGTTGATTTTTAAAAGGGAGAAAAAGATGCCAGCTATTGTTACCTGCTGCTGCTGGTCCCTCACTGAATGCAGCTCCTTCATTTGAATTGTAAAAGAGGATTTAAAAAAAAAACAAAAACCCTTCTTAAATTTTCTTCTAGTTGCTTAGCAATGTGACATCAAGAAGAATTAGACCCAATAAAACACATTTAACTTACCAAAGAATTATGAATGAAATGGTAAAGCATGTATTTAATTTCACTACTCTTTAGAAGTGATCAAATCATCATAGTTGGTGAATTACAGAAAGTAAAACTACGTGATATAGGTTTAAGAAGATTAGTTATCTTGGGAAAAATAGTGTTGCTTGTTATCGTTTCTACTTTAAGATAAATTTTACTTTTAAAAACACCTATGACTTGAGACCTTTGAGAGAAGAAGACATTTTATGAATTGCAGTTTCAAAGAAAAGTATAAATTGTATGGAAGCTACAAAAAGTGTGGAATCTAGTTCATGCACTCCTTGGATTTGTAAATGTTGCACCTGTAAAATTACTACTTTTTTAGAGTCTCATAAGAGGGTGCACTCTCAAAGCTAATTGAGCTAACACATAACTTAGCATGATAAGGTCCAATTTTAATAACTAAGTACTCTGAGTAATTGATAGAAAACAGTGCATTTGTAAACTTCTAAAACCCTTTTGGGATAACTGTGGCTTTTGATGGTAAAGTGAAGTTTTTCTCAAGATTTCTTGCATGGAAAATTTCCACATGAGGAAAAGGCAGTCTTTGCAATTGGAACAATAAGCGGAGGGCTATATTTAAATGATTTTCCATTAGCAAATGACACTTTATGATTTTGAATTAAAGACAGCATTTCTCACCAGTGCCTAAAATGTTTGATATTTAAAGATACAGTCTTTACATGGATGAAAAAAATTTTCAGAAAAAAGTAAAGATTTGTAAATTATATCTGACTGAGAATTGTTACATAGAGAGCTTACTATTTTATCATCTGTCAAATAAACTCTTGTGTATTTGAAATGAGTAATTTTTTACAACATAGTATCAAACCTAAACCTAATATTATGATTATTTTGAGAAAAAATAATTGAGATATAGTAGTTATTCTCTTTTTCCCCACCCTATAAATAAGAAAATTAGATAACTTGATATTTTCAAATATATGCACTTATAAAGATTTAAAAATACACTCAGGCAACAATAACATGCAGGTTTAGAAGATGACAGATAGCTACAGTTTGTTGTGTACAAGTTCCATGGTAAATCCAGATTTTTAGAAACTGAAAATTATGCTACTTAGGGACCATTTTTGAGATAAGATTACAAAAACATCTTACTTTTGCAAATGTTACTGAAAGAAAGATTTGCCATCTGTACACATTGCTCGGGTCCCCGTCCAAGACCTTGAAATGAGCCCGGGCACGTGAAGGCCCCGGAGCTTACATGTCGTTAGCTTCGTGGCACGAGCTGCTGAGGCCAGATATCAGAAATAAAAAGCACAGGACTTGATGGCTCTCTCGCTTCCTAGATGTGATCACTTTTTGCATTATAGTACCTTGATTTAATAATGAACTCCTTGCTCTCTGTAATGATTTACATGTAACATGCAAACTACTTGTGAAGAATTTACTTTAAAATTGGAGCATTATACATTTTTGGAATCCTAGGCATCACCTCAAAACTCACCTCAGATTTAATTGTCAATACAGCTGGTTAGCAGATCCCCGGATTTGGAAAGATTTTGAGTGCAGGTTGGACTGTGAAGAGAATGGAGGAGGGGATTCTGATTAATATAGGAGAGGGTCTACTTAGAAGACACATGCTAAGTGTGAACTTTCTGGAAACTCAGGTTTTCCCTACTTTTCCTGAGACATGTTTTGTAATGGTGGATCTATTCTCAGTGCCTTCTTCAGATTTTCTTTATAGCACGTTTACTTTCGATAACCCGCACATAAACTTTCTGTTTAATCTTGTCGCCTCCAAACCTGAACTGTTTCCTCACTTCCCATCTTCCTCTCAGTCCCTGGCCTAATGCATACTTTTTTAACTCATTCACATTAATCATCTTCCCTTTTTCCCCTTCTCTTTCATCCCACGCCTACTTCCAGCCCTACAGTTTCCTGTTGGGATCCTAAATCCCATGACCTATCATCATTATCGCTATTACATGTCTCTTCAAACCTCACCTTTAATTCTTCTCTACTTTGTCTTCTTGCATAAGCCCATTAAATGTGCTATTGGATTCATCTAAGTATGATAGAAGATTATTTTAAGATATTTCCTAAAAGGTTTGAAACTATGTTTTGTTGCTTTTAAGTCACTTAAAAATCTAGATGCACTTGAAGGGGAGCATTGAAGAGGTACTGACTCTTTCTCTTCTGGTTTTATCTAACATCAGCTTCAAAAAAATGCCATTCTGCATACTCTAAAAAGCAACACCTTAAGAAAAAATATAAGTCAACCATATAAATAGAATATGTCCCCATTGCCCAGTGTTGCCAGATCTCTGAACAAATAAACAGAAATGTTTATCAAAGAGGCAAGGATAACAGGGACAGCTACAGCACAGTCCACTTATTTGAACCATTTGAGGTTTATCTCCTGTTGAAAGAGGTAGAAAAAGGCTCTAGGAGAACAAGACATTCTTCCCTGTGCTTTATTACTTCTGAGTCATAATAAAAAACTGATCTATTACCTGGGCGGTGTGGCTCAGTGATTGAGCATCGACCCATGCACCAAGAGGTCACCAGTTTGATTCCCAGTCAGGGCATATGCCCAGGTTGTGGGTCCGATACCCAGTAGGGGATATGCAGGAGACAGCCAGTCAATGTTCTCTTTCATCCATGTCTCTCCCTCTCCTTTCCTCTCTTAAAATCAATAAAGAAAAAAACAAAAAAAAAAACCCTGATCTATTATATGTTGTCCCTTTGCACATTCTATTGAACAGTAAAGTAAAAGTAAGAAAAAATGGTTGACATGATAGTTTGGAAAGCTTCAGAACTTTTCATAGTAACTTTGATCAGAAGACACGTTCACGTAGGCCACAGAACTCGGATCTCAGGAAATTTTAAATATCAGATTCTGCATTATATCTGCTGTGTTGAGTTGAACGCAGAGTCAGCTTCTTTCAGCTGCCATATAATGCTTATCTTTCAGAATTACTGTGAGGATTAGATAAGAAAACATGTATTTCCTGTATGCCTTATGTGGAACTTGATAGGTGTTATTAAAATAAGGCCAAAATATCTTTCCTGGTCAGAAAGTCAATGTTTGAACTTGCAGCGTGCCCCCAGTTAAACTGTAGAAGAGGTGGATGTAGGAGAGGCTGGAGGGGTCACAGACTTCATCTCCTCCAAGGTTTCTCCTAACCTTTTCTGCCTTCTGTACCTGAGGTTCTGCCTGACTTGTTGCTTGGACACAGTCTGTTGTGTGTCCATAGGCTTGGATACCAATTTCCACTCTTCCTTCTCCTGTTTTTTCCAGATTCCTAGTTCTTATTTCCTTATCCTTTTTCTTTGAAGCTTTATCAGATTATATAACTTTGCCACACAGTTACTCGGAGCCAAATTTGAAGTCTATGCAAAGGCCCCCCAGGTCTGCCTGCCACCCGTAGGTACCTGTTTGACCTCATCTCCTTCTGCTGTCTCCCACTTACTCAGTTCCAGCCTCTTTGGCCTCCCTGCTGTTCCTCCATTACACCTGCAGCAGCTCTCCTCAGAGCCTTTACCCTTGCTGTTCCTTCTGTGGGCGGTGGGGAGGTTGGAGTGTGGGAATGCTGTTCCCACAGACATCCATGTGGCTGCCTAAAACCTTTGCCCAGAATGTTACCTTCTCACACAGGTCTTTCTCTCGTTATCTCCATTTCCTTTTCTGTTTCATTTTTCTTTATATACGTACTTATATGACTTATAAGTATATAAGCTTATTGCCCGTCTCCTCCTCATAAACTCCATGAAGGCAGACATTTTGTCTGTTTGTTAACTGGTATAGTCTCAGAGCCTAAAAAGGTGCCCACCACCCAGTGGGTGCTCAGTACATCCTTACTGAATGAATGAATAAATTCCTAACTCACTCCCTAGAAATAGGAAAGAGTTCAACCTAAAGGTTTAGATGTTTAAGATATAGGTAAGAGCATGATCTCTAAAGCCAGACTGCCTGGGTTCACATCTGACTCCACCACTATTTGGGTGATCTTGGATAAAATGTGTAACACTTATGTCCTTTGGTTTCTTTATCGATGACATGCAATTAATAGTGGTACATACCCCATTCAGTTTTTGTGAGGATTAAATATATTGATGCACATAAGACTCTTAGTTTATTAGAGACAATGTATTTTGACCATTTTTTCCTCTGGGCAGTAGGTGCTGTAGTAGGTGGTAAAGACTTTTCAGAGGTTTTCTTAATTTTTGACTTTGCAGAGTAATTTTACTTTTTTTCTCAGCTGCCTCACGTCTGACCTACTCATCTCAACCTCCTTTCCTGACCTCCCCTCATATGCATATTTCCTGAGGGGGCGGAGTTACAGTTGCTAATTATTGTTAACTAGGCAATGAAACCTCACTAGCACTGGAGAAAAATGTATACTGATTTTTTTTTTTACCACTCCTGAGAGCTATAGATAGAAAATATCCAAAGAAAAAGTAGGTAGGACTGTAAACTCCCAGTCATCTCTAAGAAAGACTTGATCCTCCTCCCATATGTTTCTTTGGGAAAAATTAAATTGAATTAAAGAATGTGATCTCTTCCATATCAATTTTTTTGGCTCACAATACTGACTTGTATACTATTTGACATTAAATGGCCCTTGTCAAAGAAAGCCTGTGCTAAGATGTTATGTAGTAAAATATCATTTTCTTGAGAAACAGTTCATTTAAAGTTACATATGTATAACCTTGAAATGTCTTTTATACTAAAAGTTTACTAATTAAATTAACAGAGTAAATTGCATTGAAGGGATATTCTTTTTTTTTTTTTTTTTTTAATCCTCACCCGAGGATATTTTTTTCCCATTTATCTTCAGATAGAGTGGGAGGGAGGGAGGAAGAGAGAGAGTGGGAGAGAGAGAGAGAAACATCTATGTGAGAGAGACCCATCAACTGGTTTCCTTCCGCATGACCCAACCAAGGCCTGGGCCCGAACCACAACCAAGGTATCTGCCCTTGACCAGAATTGAATCCACGACTCTTTGGTCCATGGGCAAACGCTCTAACAGCTGAGCCAAACTGGCCAGGGCAAGAGAAATATTCTTTAAATATTCAAAATATCCAATTTAAGGAACTGTCTTCTGATCCCTAAAATAACTTTGGCAATGACCCATTGAATTTAATTACAAATGGTTTTTATTAATTATATAAAGCAATCCCAGGGTTGAACCCCTCTTGAAATCATATTTATTATACATTAGTAAAGCTGGAGTGGGATGAGGGAGAAATTATATTTATATCATTTAAAGCAATACAGTGACATTTCTTTAACAATATTTTATAGTTCAACCAGGGCGATATTTAGAGAATCTGATTATTAATTAGGGATACAAACTAAGGTTTATGGAATGTAAGTTTATTTGTTTATTGTTTTTGTTGTTCAGGGCAATGATTTTAACAGATGGAGAAGTAGAACCATCTTTCACTTAGCAAATATTCACTAAGCTCCCATTGGGCACCACTATGTTGGATGAGAATGCAGCGATGTCAACACAACACAGGCCTGGCTTGATGGATGCCTTACAACTAAGACTTGACTTGTGTCCCTATTTTTATGCAGGTCACACAACTGGTCTCTCTTTAAATAATGACCGACTGTACAAACTCACATACTCCACTGAAGTTTTTATTAACCAAGGCAAAGGAAAACTCCAAGACAGTGTAGGTTACCGAATTTCATCCAATGTGGACGTCGTCTTACTGTGGAGGAATCCTGATGGTGATGATGACCAACTGATCCAAATCACGGTAGGCATTTTCTACCAGAGATGCAGATATTAGATGCCAACAAGATCATTGAGAAATGTACCATTTGATAGCACTTGTTTTGTGTTCTTTGTTGTATAACCATTTAGTTTGTCTTCCATCACTAAAACATGTACTTCTACAGTTTTTTGGGGTTTTTTTTATCCTCACCCGAGGACATTTTTCCATTTTTTGTTCAGATAGAGTGGGAGGGAGAGTGAGGAAGAGAGAGAGAGAGAGAGAGAGAAACATTGATGTGAAAGGGACACATCGAGTGGTTGTCACCTGCACGACCCAACCAGGGCCAGGGACAAACTGCAACTGAGATACATGCCCTTAGCGGGAACCGAACCCGGGTCTCTGTGGACCGCAGGCCAATGCTCCAACCGCTGAGCCAAACCGGCCAGGGGGTACATCTACAGTTTTGAAGGTTTTGCTAATCAAAAATTATTGGAATCTTTCCAAATTGTTGAAATAGGTAAAAGAAGACATTTGCTGTTGAGTTACTGGCATATGATGTTTAGTTCTGTGTGTCATATTAATAGACACATTAAGTTAGAATCCTAGAAGTCAGGGGTCTAGAATTAATGTCATGTGAAGGACAATTGAGACTACTGTAACTGAAGAAGGAGCTAAATTGAACCTCCCAGTTTTCCTGAGCTTCTTAATATAACAGGTGGAATTACCACTGAGGGAGTAAACCTATTCTGTATTTTTTCTAAGAAAAAAAAAGGTGCTCCTTATCATGGTGAGTTATAACACTTTAGATTTATGGGTTGAGAAAGGAGGTGCAAGTTAGATAGTCTCTGGGTTTCTTTCCAGTTTATTGATATTAGAGATGGAGAGGAAAGGAGAGGGAGAGAGAGAGAGACATCGATGAGAGAGAACATCGATTGGCCGCCTCCTGCATGCCCCCCACTGGGGATCAGGTCCTCAGCCTGGGCATATGCCCTGACCCGGAATGGAACTAGTGACCTCTTGGTGCATGGGTTGACGCTCAGCCACTAAGCCACCCCAGCCGGGCTTTTTCCAGTTTTAATATATGGTGAGTTCATATTTGCTTTACCAATGTAAAGGCAATATAATTCTTTAGTAATGTCAGTTAATCTTTCACATGTCAATGTGAAACAGGTACACAAAACCAAAACTTGTTCCATTGTAACTGATAAGTGGTTGCTGTTATACTTTATAATGAGGTGTCATTGCAATATATTTATCAAGTGATCTTTGCTTCTTCGGATGTCTCTAACAGCTGTTGTGTCTTCCAAGTTGCATCAAAACTTCATCATCTCTCTCTCTGAGCCATTTCTCAATAGAAGAGCATTGTGGAGAAAATATTATGTACCTCTTGTCAGTAATTGCACTTTGCATCTTTAATTTTGTATATGACGATGAAGTACAATGGGGCAGGAATCTTCCAAACAAATGGAACAGAAAGGGAAGAAATCGGACAGATAGCAACAGTTCAAAACTCATGAATGACAATGACATAAAAGAGTCATTTTCTAGTCATAATTATTATAAACCCGAAGCCACAGATTTCTTTAAGTATCCTATTTTTACCTAATTCAAAAACCTAGTTGGTTAATGCCTTCTCCATTCTTTTAAAGTTTGTGGGTAGGTCCTCTGAATCATGAATTGGAAAAACAACAGAAAAAATGATGGCCAACCCTGTTTATTGCTTTACCATTTTATTTTCTAAGAGAATCTGATAAAAATAGATATTGAAAGTTTTCTAATAGGTTTCTTTCCATGTTACCAGATAAAAGATGTAAATGTTGACAATGTGAATCAGAAGAGGGGAGAGAAGAGCATTTTCAAAGGAAAAAATCCAACCAAAATCATAAGAAAAGAAAACTTAGAAGCTTTACAAAGACCTGTGCTCCTCCATCTAGTCCATGGAAAGGTAAAAGTGATTTGGGGTGGGGGGGCCTCACATCTTTTTTCTCCAACTTCATAATTCTCTTCTCTTTAGTAGATATTATTCTTAGGTGATCATGGTGTTGCTACTTTTATGTTAAGTAAAAAATTTTTTAAGAACTAATAAACAGGTTGCAAATTAAATGTTTCAAAAGTAAATCAAGACATTGAGTCATTTATATTTTCTAGCCATCTGTGTTCCCTATTTTATAAAAATCTTTATAGTAGAATCAAGTACTTATTTAGTGATAAGAGATTATTAAAAGGTGCAGTCTTTATTAAATTAAGGAGGATTAGAAAGATATTGTAATGTAAAAGTTCATCACAGATGGATTGAATAAATTCAAGAAAGTGGACAAATTATGAGAATGAAATGATCTAACTTAGATACATGATGTTAACTTATAAGAATATCAGTATCTGTTTAAAGTACAAAATTGAAGCTTTTGAAAGGAGGTGACATTTCTATGGTAGTATTGATTTTTTAAAAAAGCATTTAAAGATCATTTAAAAACTATGACTTTAAAAGGCATTTTATGCATAATGAATGGACACTATAATATCTATTTGAAAATTTGCTCAGAAAATTCTGTAAGTGTGCATTACTTGGGGTTTGATTCTAGTGTATTAAAATCATCTTAATATGTTTAGGATTGAGAAGCAATTGTGATCAGTGAATGATTAGGCATTACATATGTGGGTTTATGAGAAGTATAGATATTACATTGATATGCATAAAAACGCTTTAATAAGGATGAAAGCTCAATTTTAGGAACTAAAGTAGAAAAATAGAAAAGAACCCTTATAGTCAAAACTCTAAACATCTCTAAAATTTCTCTAGATTTAGAAATTCTAGATTCAAAATAAAGATGAAAACAAATATGTTAAAATATAAATTTTAGACATGCAATATATTTCTAATCATGGTACATGTTTTTATAGAAAATACTAGAAAGGAACTCCCAACAAGAATTGTTGTGTGGTCACCTGTCGTATAACCAAATATGAATCGACATCTCAAGAATGTTTCTCTTCCTTCTCCACTTGTTAAAATACTTACCATGCTTCAGGTTTTGCTTGGGGACCATTCTTTGATAAAGCTCACATGCTTCTAGCCAGCTGGAAATAACCAGTCCTTTTTGGAAACCCCTTAGCACTTTGTAGCTGACTCATAGCTCTGATCACTTTCTATTGGTCTTTTGTGTTCATTGCTAGATTATGGGTTTCCGTAGAGAAAATTCCCATTCTTTATATTCCAGCCCTCCCCTCACGTTCATGACTTTCAACTTCCTTCTTCCCCAAAGCACTGACTGACTTGGTGTTCCAAAAAGCCTTTCCCAACTTTCTCTCAAACCTCCTCCTCCCTTGGGTTTATTTCTATGAAAGCATTGATCACAGTCTATTGTAATTCTGTCTTTATTTGTCTGCATTCACATTAAGAGTAGGCTTCTTGTGGGCAGCAGTTATGTTTACCTTTATATATCCCCAAGCTTTGCTCACAGAGGGAATGCAATAAATGTGTGTAAACTAAAGGAATGAGCAAGTAAGGTTATGTGGAGCTAAAATGAGTCGGACTATGAGAAGGGTTGTGCTTATTGTTTGCTTTGTAATAGCTGAAAGTACCAAGCTCTCAGAGCCTGCACTGGCTGAAGGCATTACATGAATTATCTCCTTTGTCCTAGGAAGCTGGTGCTGCTTTATCATTCTCTTGTAATAGATGAGGAAACCAAAATTTGCCTAGGGTCACATAACTGGCAGGTAGTGGAACTGGAATTTAAAACAAAGGGTCTCTTTTTAGAATTTATGCTGCAAACCACTGTTATATTATCTTCTAGCTAAAGCATTTGGGGAAATATCACTTCTTTTGTTGACTTGTAGCATTCCTGTTTCATTCTTCATCATATCTGTTAACTCACTTGATTTTCACATCTCACAACGTTGTTAAAAACATGAAATACTGTTACTGTCTTCTCTGGCCTTCCAATGTGGCAAAACACTTAAGCCCATAAAATATTAATTGCATTTATAGTCTTAATGACAACCAATCATTTTATAGCCCCTCAGATGGCAATTGAGTACAAAGTCTTTGGTTGCGCACATGAAAGAATGCAGTGCCCTCACCGTTCAAAGGCTGGGACGGAGCTGCCACATCATTATTTCAGTGACTCCACGGTGCCAGTTCTATAGGAGTCACGACTTGTGATGATTTACTGCAGCTGCAGGTTAAAGTACATTGTATTATCTTTCTATTATATGATAAAGTAGTTACCGGAAAAAAACCCATGACCCTGGAGACTAAGAAGCTCTGTGAAATTGTCAGCCACATCACTATCAGAAAGATCATTGTTTAAACTCTTGCTCCAGCTCACTAGGAAAGAAGTTGTGAAAGGAAAGACTAAGTTGTTGATTGACAGTTTTCTTAAAGAGTGTTTTCTACCCCAGGCTCAAATTAAATTTTACTCCCTGAAATTTCTGTGATTTTCAAGGATTCTATTAGCATGTAATTTTTGTCTGTCCTGAGGTCCCTGTTTTAAGTTCCCAAATTTACATTACAAAAGAGAGCCAATTAAAATACTTTGATACATATTTATTGCACTTTTTTTTTTTATGCCCAATCATCTCCCCTACATAAGTGTTCGGGCATGACTTTAGTTTTGTCTACAAATCATAAATGAAGTTGGAAACATGATAGTTTTCTGGCTGAGTTGATTAACACTGACAAGCAAAGATGCCTCAAGTTACAGCACGGATGGATTCTTTCTTGGCCCGAAATGCTAATCCAGTGAACTGGATAATTACCAAATTTCCATTTCTGTTTTTCCCTGTCAGTATTGATTGAATTAACTACATAGCTGCTGAGTCAGCCCTTTATTTTGCGTTGTTTCTGGGCATTGATTTGTTCTTGGAATCTGTCAGTGTGGCTTCTGTACACACACTGAACCTCCAAAGGAAACGTGACACTTTGAAAATCTCGTTCTTCGTAGAAGTCTCCACATGTCCGTTTTCCAATGTGCTGGTTCCTACTGATGCCCTTTCTTAGATACATATCAGAGATCTGTTTAGAGACAACTCCAGATAAGTAGAAAAAAATAAAATGACTAATCTTTGTTTGCTGAGATCCTTTTAAAAATTTTTTTGCTGTTTAGTCAGTTAATGGAATTTTCTTTCTCTTATTTTTAAAGAATGTATAAATTAAGGAAATGTACAGAAGCATTTTTCCCCCCTTAAGGTAAAAATATGAATAATCCCTACTGATTCCAAGGGGAAATTGACCCTCAAAATTTGGCAGGAAGAGGCACCTCATCTCCTTCCCCAAAACCCACCCCCTTTCTTGGTTTGGCTTCCTGGGGTTAAAGGCTTAGTTTGTCACTAGGTTGTGCCACGGCCACTCTCCGGAAGCTCTGGGGACTGTGACTTTAGATAAGAGTCAATGCTTTCAGATATTCAGAGCTCATTTCAGAACTGAGTGAAGAAATCAGTTTTATGGCCTGAATATAATAAAACTTACTTAGTTCCTGCTATAATATAATAAATGTAAGATTACTGATGTGGCTCAGCTGGTGTGGCTCAGTGGATTGAGCATTGCCCATGGGCTGAGAGGTCCCTGGTCAGGGCACATGCCCGGGTTTTGGGCTCGATCCCCAGTAGGGGGCGTGCAGGAGGCAGCCAATTGATGTTTCTCTCTCTCCCTCTAAAAAATCAGTAAAAACATATTAAAAACAAAAAAAAGATTACTGCTCTGATAGTCACATGGATTTAACTGCAAAGTTCTGAGTTTATTACTATTTTTTTAATTATCAAAAGCCTGTTTAATTCTCACCATTTTGGCATTTAGCTAATATGGATACCCGTCCTGCCTGTTTAGACCTCAGTGGTCTGCACTAAGAGAACAGAATTTAGGACCCCAAGTAGCAGCCATACAAAGAAGACGAGACTTGACCACTTTTCTAGTCTAGAAAAAGCAGTAAAAACTAATAGAAGGAGTGAAAAAAAAACCAACATTCTCTTTATGTCTCACAGTCTACATTGTTTAGCCTTCCAGGAAAATAAAGACGTCTCCAACACCATTTTACTAGGATCCTAGTGGTCAAGATCAAATCTGGATCCATAGACGTGGGTCAGTAACTGAAGAGCACTTCACCTTGTGCATAGTCTGGAGGTTAAATCTGAGAACTGGGTTTTTTGAAATGTTAGTTCAAACTTTATAAATAGTTCAGGCATAGCATTTTTTAGCCTGGAAGGGAAAGTGAGGATACTGATGATAAGTAAAAGTATTTTTCCCTCTTAATGGCTCCTCTTGCTTTCTAAAGTATGTTAAACTCGGGCTTAAAATGTCATGGGCCGTAGGCACGTGAGCACTACCACTCAGGGGCCCTTCTGACTGGGCTCCCGTGATCCAGTTATGAATCTGTAATAGTCACGATATCTGGAGCGGGCATCCTCCGAAATATTTGAAAAGGAAGTTACACTGTAATTCCGAAAAAGAAAAAAGACCCAGTTTACAAACGAGAACATCAGAAACTCAGCTTTGGGTCCGAGAAAAAGTCAGTGATTTGTTGGAGAATCTGATACCATAGATTTTCAGACGCTGAGGTCACTGTTTCGGTTCCTTTTTAACCTGGACAAACATAATTCCAGCACTTATAGGTTTGTCCAGTGTAATGACTAAAACTGATTATAAGTCGGATAAAGTACCTTGTAAATCTGTCACTAGGCGGAGTATGTGTAGAAAATAAAAATAGAGATTTGAGGCACCTGTTTGGATAATTTGGGCAAAATACTCTCTTCTAAGTTATGGAGCGTTTTCATGTAGGCTGAATTGTTCAGATTGGTATTCATTGAATTCATTGCATAATTAATGAGCTTTCTGTTTTACTTGAGAAATCATGGTTGGTTTTAAATAAAAATAGGAAGGTATTCAGGATATTTCTAGTAGAAGTTCTCAGCTATAATTACTGTAGACTTTGGGAATTTTTACAGGGAAGCTACATCCATCCTGTAGTTCTAAACAGCGTGAAGCGTCCGGAGTTAAAACAGGGTGAAAAATGACAGCCTGGTTTCCAGAAAACTGTCTTTGTATTTTTATCCTTGTTTCTTAAACATGAGCTAAATTATGAAAATGGTATGAGACATTATTGTCCCCCCTGTGCCTATAATATCAAGAATGAAACAAAGTTAAGTAAGCCATTTAGGATCACAGCCAAATCATTCTGTCTTCTCATTCCACCCTCTTTCCCTGCCTTCCAAAGGGAAACCCACAGCCGTGCCTGGAGCAGGCCATGAAGCAAGAGCGATCTCAGCCTGGGGTCTCCCAACCCGCTGTATCCGCTCATACCGAAGGCCAGCCTGGTGCTGTGCAGGGCCAGACCGAGAACTGCCCCCCGTGGAGGGTTGTCCATGGGCCGCATGGCCGCTTCTGGGTGGCTGTGCTGTCTCAGTAGTTTCAAGAGTGGTGATTGCTGTTATTTTCCAAAAACCTGTTTCTTTGCTGCGATTTAGACCGCGGTTAGTTTTTGTTTCAAGCAGAGTCATAGGTAGAGAACATGGCGTGTTCAAAGAGAATGTGCCTGATTTCTCTTCCTTGGGCAGTCCTTGCTTTCTCCGAAATCCCAGCCTGCGTCTGCAGTCTCTCTCCTTTCCCTGGGCCGGCTCCACTTTGCACGGGGCCGTCATCATCCGTATCCTGCAGTGTCATACTCTGATGGTCTGGCTTCTGAGAAATTTAAATGGATTCTGTTCACAACAAAATAAATCCCAGTAACGGATCTCCTTCTCCCAGAATTGAGAGGGATGAGAATCTGAGCCTTTCCCGCCACTTATTTAACCAGACATGATACAGGATGCACTTTTGCATCATTTATATTTGCCCTTTTTTCTCTTAGGTCAAAAACTTCTACTCATATGAAAATGAACCAGTGGCCATAGAAAATCTCAAGAGAGGCCTGGCTAGCCTATTTCAGATGCAGTTAAGCTCTGGAACCACTAATGAGGTACTTACTAATGTTATTAAGAATCCAGAATCTTATTTGTCAATAGAGTTACCTAAATTGTTTGTATTGATTTCTATCTGTAGAAATTTAGCTAACAAGTTACTACCCAGAAAAGGTGAGCTGGGTGGTCAAGTGTCATTTACACATGAAACAAATCGCCATTTATACCAATGTGTCCTCAAACACAGGGTAAAGGGAATTCCACTCAGTGCCACTAAGGGGACTTGCAGAATGACTGAAAGACCAAGATGCAGAAAAACTTGGGGAGCATTCCCGTGTCATCACTTTGTGTCACTCTCTCATTGGGAGCTCATTAAAGATAGAGATTCCCAGGATTCACGGCAGAAGTTCAGATTCACTAGATTAGGGAGGACCTGAGCATCTATATTTTAAAGGTTTTCTCAGATAATTTCAGGGTACGTTATCAGTTTGGGGACCCATTGGTCTGTACCAACCCCCTTCATTTTACAGACAAAGGAACTGAGGTTAAACGAGAGAAGTTAAGTGGCTTCCCCAATACCACACCTCGAGTCAAAGGCAGAACTGAGTCCAAGTTTCCTGTCTGAATTCAGACAACCCAGGAGTGAGTGAGAAAATCTGATGGCAGGCCCGGGCCAGGGAATGTTAGTTCATTAGAAGGGAGGCGGGTGTGGCACTGGCAGAGGCCTGCTGAGAGGCCAAGAGAAGCTAGACAGAGTCTCTATTGGGATACATGTGCCTACACTCAATTTATTGATGTGACTATAATGAGTTGAATTAATTCAACATGTTTTTAAAGATTTCTAATCATAGCTGGTCAAAGGACACACACACACACACACACACACACACACACTCAGCCTAGATGTAACATTAAAAGTCACCTCCCCTTGCCACATAATTACCCATTTACCAGAGGTTTTGATTTTGACCAGGTCATTTGTCCAATTCTTATTAGACATTAGAGAGAAGTAGGCAATTCTTTATTATTCCTTGGGCGTTAAGAAGACACTAGTAAGATTCAACCAAAAAGGATGAAAAGAATCCACTTGCTGCAGGAAGCACTGAGTTCTTCCTGCCTTCCTAACTTGTCAGCCTGGACAAAAAGGCAACCCCCCGTGACACATTAGGAAATCCAATTTTCAAGCCAGTTCCCACTGGAATTGAGGTGGTCCATGTGAAAATCCTAAATACTATATTTTGACTTTATTTTTAGGTAGATATCTCTGGGGATTGTAAAGTGACCTATCAGGGTCATCAAGACAAAGTGACCAAAATTAAGGCCTTGGATTCATGCAAAATAGAAAGGTCTGGATTTACAACTGCAAATCAGGTATGATTGACATCACTTTTTTGAAGCATCTAAATACTTCCATTTTATAGAGTTGAGTTTAAAATAGTTGAAGAATAAAGTAATGATATAATTTGGGAACACTTATATTTTTAGTTTAGGGTATAATTTTACATATGAAATGAACAGGTTAATTTTAATATGCTATAGGTTTGAATGATGGGGGGTGGGGCGGGAAGGGGAAGCACCTCTGAAGATTAAAAGACAGTTTGGCATTTAACTTAATTCAAAGATAAAAAGCTGACTAAATGTTACCACTACACATGTTTACCTTATTAGGTCTTGGGTGTCTCTTCGAAAGCCACATCTGTCACTACCTACAAGATTGAAGACAGCTTTGTTATCGCTGTGGTTGCTGAAGAGACACGTGCTTTTGGGCTGAATTTCCTACGAAGCGTTGCAGGCAGAATAGTATCCAAGTAAGACAACGATGACATTTACATTTTTCTTTATTCTTCTTTTATATATTATTTCACTTGGTTTTTAAATGTACATATAGTTCTTCCTCATTTTGACTGTGAGCTCCTTGAAAACAGTAACTATATCTTGCACACATTTTATTTTTCACATTATCTACAATAATTATTGCATGCATTGAATACTATTTTAAAATAGAATTTTATTTAAAAATTAATTGTTCATTGAGTAGAATTTAAAATCTTAAAAGGCAATCTGTTTGATGCATTCTAGTTTCTTTTCTTTTTTTTTTTATCCTCACCCAAGGACATTTTTTTTTTTTTTTTCCGATATTTTGTTCAGATAGAATGGGAGGGAGACAGAGAGAGAGAAACATTGATGTGAAAGGGACACATCGAACGGTCGCCACCCACACGACCCAACCAGGACCGGGGACAAACTGCAACCGAGGTACGTGCCCTTAGCGGGAACCAAACCCGGGTCTCTCTGGACCGCAGGCCGATGCTCTAACTGCTGAGCCAAACCGGCCAGGGCGCATTCTAGTTTATTTTCTAATTTCTCTGTTAAATGTTTTCAGTGTCAGGGTATGAAAGATGGTGGCATTTGCATGTTTTCTTTTTGAGATTCTTTTTGTTACTGTTGTTAAGAAACACATAAAAAGTTTCACAGTAAAGTGATGTGACAGAACTTTTGGTGTGATTTATAGTACTTATATATTCAAGCATGTTATTTCAATTTGAGAAAAAATTCTCTGGTCAAAATACGTCTCATAGACCTAATAACTAGAATTTCATATCTAAGAGTGTGTGTTATTTTCCAATTTTAATTTAGAAGAACATCTCTCTAGCATTAACTGTATATTATTGTATGCCATTGCTTTGCAAATGTTTCTGCTAATGTAGCCGTCATGTCAGACATGAATGGATGCAAAATCTTGGGAGAGGTGCCTCAAATTCTTGAAATTTTATTGAAGTCTCATCTGGAGTAAGATACTATTCTCATATCTTTTCATATAAATTAATATATATATATATTTTTTAATCCTCATTCGAGGACATTTTTCCATTTTTTGTACAGACAGAGTGGGAGGGAGAGAGAGGAAGAGAGAGGAAACATCCATGTGAAAGGGACACATCAAGTGGCTGCCACCCACACGACCAACCAGGGCCGGGGACAAACTGCAACCGAGGTACATGCCCTTAGCGGGAACCGAACCCGGGTCTCTCCAGACCGCAGGCCGACGCTCTAACCGCTGAGCCAAACTGGCCAGGGCATATAAATTAATATTTTTTTTACTAAGCAGGTCTATCAGGTTTCCATTGCTCTATAACAAACCTCCCCAAATTTAGTGGTGTAAAAAACAACATTCAAGTTATTAATCTCTCTCAGAAGTCTGGGGCTTGCCTTGGCCCATGAGGCATGCCTTGCTTGGGGTCTGTTATGCAGTTGCAGTCACTGACCAGAACTGGTTCCAGGGTTGCTCCCTCACCTCTCTGGTATCTGGGCTGGAAAGACACAAACTACCGAGATTCCTCATGCATCTCTCTTTATCTCTGTATGGCCTCTCAACGTGGCAGCTTCGAGTAGCCAGACTTCTCACGTGACAGTAAGCCTACAAGGGTCCACGTGCTGGTGGTACACGCCTGACGAAAGCTGAATTCCCTCTTACGACTTGGCCTAGTAGACCCTGCCCAGGCTCAAAGAGAGGGATCTAGACTCCACTTCTTGATGGAAGAGAGGCAAGGATCTGAAGGAGCATAGCAGATAAAAATAGTATTGAGGCCATTTTTGGAAAATAAAGATTTCTGAATTGTCTTAGTTAATAAATAACATGTGATTGTATTGAAGATACCATTTCCGGAAAACTGAGCTACATTCAAAAGAGGTGACATTACATATCTTGTTAAACATCCATGCAGAGTTTCTTCTGTGTATTCTCTTGTCATTGTATTTTGAAAATCCACCCTTAAAATTTCCATCTTTGAATACAATGGTTGCTCCAGAAAGATTCTATCATTATCTTGAGGTTTGTGTTACTGTTAGAGACCTCGAAGTTTTAAAGGCATGACCTTAACAGCTTGCAGAAAGTAGTATCTTGTTCGCCCAAGAAATGGCAATTAGTAGCTTGTTGATTCAGAAGAATGCTGCTAATGTAATATTTCTCTTCCTTGCTCATATAGGCAGAAACTGGAGCTGAAGACGACTGAAGCAGGCCCGAGACTAATGTCTGGAAAGCACGTAGCGGCCATAATCAAAGCAGTCGACTCCAAGTACAAGGCCCTTCCCATCGTGGGGCAGGTCTTCCAGAGCGAGTGTAAAGGATGCCCCTCTGTGAGTGAACAGCCGCGTTGGGTGGCCACAGATGGGAATAATCACGGCTTAAAATTCTGTTTTACTTTTGTCTCCATTGGAGGCTTCAACTAATTTTGTGAAGAAAGTTTATAAAGATCTACCAGCCACCCCTGAGTTTTAAGGACAGTAGCCTAATAATATGCATCCAACAATAATAATTAGCAAATAATGACCATCCACTCACCTCAAATCAAAACTGTTATGACTTAAGGACAGCTTAAAAGTAGCACCTAGCATTCGGGGGTAATAATGGCCTAATGAAGTCAGAGGGAAGCATATGATATCAGGAGCATGGACAGGGGTCTGCATCCTGAAAGTTCCTCCACTTAGTAACAGTACATCCACAGGTGAAGTGTATTACTGAGCTAGCTGTGTTCTGAGTGTGGTGTGAGGGGGGGAAAAGGATACCTAGCCCTCTGCCTAAATTAAGGAATACTTTTTTTTCAATTTTTTTTTCTTTATTGATTTTAGAAAGAGAGTAAGGGAGAGGGGAAGAGAGAAACATTGATGAGAGAGAACATCGATTGGCTGTCCCCTGCATGCCCCCCACTAGGCATTGGGCCCACAACCTGGGCATGTGCCTTGACCAGGAATCGAACCGGTGACCTCTTGGTGCATGGGTCAACGCTCAACCACTGAACCATACCGGCCGGGCTAAGGAATACTTTTTTACCACACTCCAACCTCCCCTACAATTACAGCCAGAAATGAGATAGCACATCCCCAAGGCAAAGGGTAGATCATCTTGTAACCTTGTTAATCCAACAAAGAAAAATTTCATTTATTGCATGGATTCGTTGTGATGCCTGGCCACAGAAATGGCTTTAGGGTCCAGCATTTGCTAACACTTAACCTGTTGTCAAGAGAGAAAACCCATGGCTCAAACTCCGTTCGTAGGTATCAGAAGATACTCTTCACTTGGATATTATTAGTGTTCAGTAAAGTGGAATCACCAAAACTAGTAACGATGATTTGCTTAGAGTACAAGCCACTAATTTCCCACTAGTTTCTCAAATATACCAAAGCTGCATTTAAAGGAAAACAAAATGAAAGAAAATTGTTGCAAACTTTGTTTTTTCTTTCATTTGTTTTTCTTCCATATACCATATATAATGTCCCAGTGTGATTTTCTGATGTCATATGAAATGAAAATTATTTAGGAATGTGACTATGAAACCAATCGGCTTTTCTCATGTTGTGAACTATTAGTTTCTCCCACATAGTTATCAAACATTATGAACCATCTATGATTTTTGATAACTATTTCTTCATTATTGTAGAAAGGATTTATATATTTGAGGACTTTGCTTTTCCAACTTCAGTATAATGTCACCATTGTGACCCTTTGAAGAAAAAACAAACAAACACACACCGTGACTTTACACTGATATGTTCTCTGCTCTCAGAAATGATCCAGTAAATCTTCAGCTAAGTGCAGCTGGAATTTTTTTTTTTTTCAATATCCTCCTAAGATTAGATAACAGAAAGGAATTTGGAAAAGAACAAATTATATCTATTCTTATTAGAAGAAATAATTTAGAAACTGGTAGCATGCTGATTATTTCAGAGTTAGACTTAAAGATCACTAACAGGGTCTAACACATTCTTTACAACTAGAGGGAAAGTGGTAAACTGTGAAAAATAAGTGCTTTAGCTTATGTCAAAGCCAAATGATGTCATTAAATAGAACTATTTACTATTTGTAAAACCACAGTAACATAACAGTAGTATATGTGAGAATTACCTTTATGTAAATACTATTCTATTTTCCATAAATATAAGTAATGAACAATCCAGGCCTTAGCAATAGTAAAACATGGCATTTCAGGCAAACAACAGAAGAGAAAATAGAGAACTCAAATTATTACAAAAACTAATTTTTAGTGAGGTCCCAATATATAAGAAACCTGACACAAGTCTTCAGCAGTTCTAATTTGTTTTGCCCTCCAAAATATTCTGTTGTTAATGAAAATTCTGCACAATTTCCCTATAGTGGTCAAAGCCTGGCCTCAGATATGATTCCCTTGTTGTAACAATGCAATGACCTATGTGCCTGGGAGCCCCAGGTCCTTTGAGCTAAATACTAATAGACAAAAACAATCCTCCTGCAGAATAATCATACACAAGGTCAGCAGGCCTCTGTACTAGCCTCTGAGAGTCGCAGGAGTAGGCAGGAGGCAATCAGCATGTCAGATACAAAAAAACTTATTTCTAGGGAGAATATCTCTTGTAAATGTATATGTTCAAAATTATGAACGGGGTCCGAGCCTGCAGCCCTGTTTTGCAGCTCTCGGAGCACTGGCAGACCATCAGAAAACACCTGCAGCCCGACAACCTCTCCAAGGCCGAGGCTGTCAGGAACTTCCTGGTCTTTATTCAGCACCTCAGGACTGCGAATAAAGAAGAGATCCTCCAAATCCTGAAGGCTGAAAACAAGGACCTCCTGTAAGTTTCCTGAACATTGTGTGAGGTTGTCTGCAGGAAAGCATTTCTGGATAGTGTGTGTGTGTGTGTGTGTGTGTGTGTGTGTGTGTGTGTGTAGGTGTGTCTGTGTTACTAAGCAAGAAAACCCTCTTTTTAACCAAATCAATTATTTTGTTGTTTTCTTCAAACAGCTATGCCACAATGCAGTAATTTAATGGTGCCGTAACCAGAAAGGCAATAACAAGTTTTCGGCAGTGACTCAGAATGAACTTTTGTTTTGAGTGTTTATGAGTAAATCAGGTCCAGATTGGTACATAGATAGGGGAGGGCTGGGCTTCATCACAACCATGCTGCCTCACTGTTTTTGAAATTTTGTTCTGGGAGCTATTAATTTACGCTTGAAAAGATTTCAGAGTTGATGATAAAAACAAAAAAGTATGAATTTTTCAGACGAAAGATGTGCTTTTATTAAAGACCCAGTGATCATCCCAATCAAAGCCATTTTTAAAAACATAGAATAGTGAGAACTGAGGTAAATGGCTGAAAGAATCTAACAAAAAGAAATATGTACACAATTTGTATATTTGATGAATGATTATTTTACCTGCATAATTAAGAGTTGACTTATTCTCAAATTTACTTGGCCTATAAATATGAGTGTTTTTGATAGGTAAAATAATTTTTCTGTAAATACAGATTCAGCTATATGATACTAATTATCCTATTGATGCTACAGAACATGGCTCAACTAATTTGACAAACATTGAAAACTATCCATTAATGTAATAAAAAGTGGGAATTGGCCAAGTTACACACACACACACACACACACACACACACACAAAGCAGCAGTAGTCACTGAGTTCAAAGGACTTAATAACCCAAGGAGAAGAGGATTTAACTTTCTTCCTGAAGTCTGTTTTTTCTTGATTGTAAATATCATTTACTTGCCTTGGGGACATTAAAAAATTGATAGGAATTCCATAAAACCAACCACAAGCTGGTTGCTTTCTTCAAAAATAAATATTTGAAGCCAAAGTTAAAAGATATATAACATCATACATTTTCAGACTCTGTTTTAATACTAAAACTTGAAAACATATTGTCAGGGTGATTTGTCTTTATATCAAAGATGAAAACACTAACAAGAAAAGTGCAAAATTAGCTATAATTTATAATAGAGATTAAACTAAACCTTAACCTTATTTGTATCTTGAAAATATTAAGGCAGCAATAATATGGATGACTTCACAGTGTATTTTCTAAATCAGACTGTTTACACACTACTGTACCATATCTTATGTAGCGCACATGTAGCACAGGGTAGTAGAAAGGCATCAGATAAACTGCCATCAGAAGACGTGGTTTTAAATTTGACTTCTAACATCGTGTAAGCTTTAAGCCAGTCGTTTACATTTAGGCCCTCTGAGCTTCACTTCCAACGTCTGTAAAATGCAGAGAATAACTCCTTTTATTTACTTTAAGATAGTGAAAGGCAGGGTGGTGGAATGTAATATTTCCCAAAGCGTCTATTGCATGGGTCTTATAACCTGCAGAATATTAACAAGTTTGCTAAGAGAAAAAGATTCTGTGAAAAACTGAGTTTGAAAAACACTGAATGAAACCAAGTCAAATAGTTCTCTTTGCTGCAGACATTTGTTACATCTTTAATTTGATAATTTTATGTGTAAATTTCCTTGAACATTTCTTAAGCTTGCACGATCTTGAAAGTACCTGTTTTTAAAGTATTTTGTAGGAGTAGTTGCATGGAAGTCACTTTGGGAAACATCAATACAATTAAAAGACACTGAACTCCAGAGTCAGAAATTAGGAATTCCAATCCTAGCTGTACACTTACCAGCTATGGGAGCTTGAACAAATGACTTGATATCTCTGAATCTGTTTCCTTATATATGAGGGGGAATATTAGTGTTGAGTTGACAGAGATGTTCAGTGAGGTGATTGTATTAATAAGAACATGTGTTTATATAGCATTTATAATGTTCTAAGCTTTATTCTAAGTGTTTCACATAGATTATGTAATTTGATCCTCCCCAAATCCTAAAGTAACTACTAGTTTTAGCCCTATGTTACAGATGAAGAAATTACAGCAAAGAGAGGTTGCATACCTAACACTTCTAGTGCAGTGCTTGTATAATAGACACTTAATAAGTATCTCTCTCAGTTTCTCTTTGTTCACTGGGTGTTTGTTGGGTTCAAAATTATATAATATAAGTATGTCTATTTTTTTAAAATCCTGACCGGTGGATATATATTTTTTCATTGTTTTTTTTTTTTTTGGATAGAGTGGGAGGAAGGGAAGGAGAGAGAGAGAGAGAGAGAGAGAGAGAGAGAGAGAGAGAGAGAGAGAGAGAAAGAAAGAAAGAAAGAAAGAAAGAAAGAAAGAAAGAAAGAAAGAAAGAAAGAAAGAAAGAAAGAAATAGTGATTTGAGAGAGAAACATCAATTGGTTGCCTCCTGCACAACTCACCAACCAGGGCCCAAGATCGAACCTGGAACTGAGGTACATGCCCTTGACCAGGAATCCCCGAGACTCTTTGTTCCATGGGCTAATGCTCTAACCAACATCTGAGCCAAACTGGCTGGGGCACTATGTCTATTTTAAAGTATAAAGCAGTAAACACATGTGTGGTGTGTTTATATGGATGTAGAAAAAAATATTTACATACATACTATGTTCATTAGTATGACAACAAGTTTCTGAAATTTTGCCATCCCAGACTTAACAAACCAAAGATGCTTGATGGCTGGAATATTAACTAGAACTTTCCTGTAGGACTTTTGCTTTGCTCACACATAATCATATGACTGAACACTGAACTATATCATGGTGTTTTCTATTTATTTTTTTTAAATGAGGAAAACTTTCTCCCTTGGATATAAATCAAAGTTAAAATAATTTCCCAGCTTTCTATTAAATAATACTGCCCTAGTTAAATTAGGCATTTGAAAAATGAGTATATTCACAAAGCTAATTAGAGAAAGAATCAATTTGAGGGTATTTCATGTATTACTCATATAGAAAAAAATTTGAACCTAATTTATAATTTTATTTATATAATTTTATTTACAAATCTCCAAATTATATTTGGCTTAGGTTAAAAGAGCAAAGCTAGTTTGCATTTTCTGAATATACATTGAATGAGAGAGAGGAAAGTTAAAAGAGAAGTTTAAAATAAAATGGAGGTGGTCTTTTGCAGACAATTATTCTTCTGTTCAAATAAGAAAATTATCACTTCTTTAGGAAATTCAACCCAATGGAGAATCTGTAAATGGTAGAGATTTTAAATAGTTCCTTAAGCACCCTAAACATTGATATCCATAACTATGCCTTTTTTTTTTTATAGACCTCAGCTGGTGGATGCTGTCACCTCTGCTCAGACCCCAGACTCATTAGTTGCTATTCTGGACTTTTTGGATTTCAAAAGTGATAGTAGCATTATCCTCCAGGAGAGGTTTCTGTATGCCTGTGGATTTGCCTCCCATCCTGATGAAGAACTCCTGAGAGCCCTCATTGTAAGTCAGATGGACACTGGGAAAATTAAGGCCCTCCCCACTGAAAAGCAATCAGGAACCTAAGCAGTATTTAAAGGTTGTTTGCACCAGAAGGAAGGCTGAATGAGAGCCTTCTGATTATTCATATTCAAATTCTGTTGAACTATTTCCTATCCATTAATTATTAACTCTAAAGTAAATTATTTCATATAGTGTCTTCTTTGCAATTCTTCTAAATAACAAAGTATACTTGACAGAAATTTAAAGATTGTGTTTACCTATCATATAATATGACATAGGACAAAATTTCAGTGGGGAGAAGTCTTGGTTAGTTCAAAAATGGATCTTAAAACATTTGTTTTGATTTCAAATATCTTCATGGTATTTAATACACAGTATGTTGAAAAGGTATTAATTAATATAGGAACGAAAATCTAGACTTTTCTTGGGTCCAAGATTTTTTTTTTTTTTTTTCCTCACCCAAGGACATTTTTCCATTTTTTGTTCAGGTAGAGTGGGAGGGAGAGAGAGAGGAACAGAGAGAGAGAGAGAAACATCGATGTGAAAGGGACACATCAAGTGGCTGCCACCCACACAACCGACCAGGGCCGGGGACAAACTGCAACCGAGGTACGTGCCCTTAGCGGGAACCGAACCCGGGTCTCTCAGGACCACAGGCCGATGCTCTAACCGCTGAGCCAAACCGGCCAGGGCCAAGATTTTTTTTAAGTACATTTATTTACTTACAATCTAATCAAACAGTTCATAATCTTTTTGGAAAATGGGCCCATTTAAGAATCTGATAAAAGCAAAGAAGCCCCTTTTCACCCATACACAAGATTTCACAGACCTTTTGTTGCTCACTGGCCCAATGAATCCAATCCACAAACCTCTAGGGAGTTCATAGGCCAATGTTAAGAATATCTGGAAAAAGGAATTTGCAATCTAGGAACATAATTTCCTCAGGCACTGGTTACTTTGTTTCTTAAGTAAAATATATCCCTTGGAAATGTTTCAACAGTTTGGTAACTTATTTAATCTCTTATTGGCTAATAGAGTAAGTTCAAAGGTTCCTTTGCGAGCAATGACATCAGAGAAACCGTTATGATCATCATTGGCGCCCTCGTCAGGAAGCTGTGTCAGAACGAAGGATGCAAACTCCAAGTAAGTGTGAATCCAGTCTCAGGTTTGACATGTGTAGTTCCAGACCATCCCACTTCACACCCACCATGCCGCCACCACCGGGGCTCCTAATCCCCCTTACCCGCTCGCTCTCTCTATTTGCATAAGCAAGTATTGCCATCTAGCGTACTTTAGAATTCATTATTTCTCATGTTTATTGTTTACTTCTGTCTCCCACTGAAATGTAAGCTCCATACAGAGTTGGATCTTCCTTTTTTCAACACCAAATGTTTAAAGTGGTGTCTGGTACATAAATAATGCTCAATAAATACTTGCTAAAGAGTAAATAGTTTATTAATCTCCCATCAATATGTATTTATTGAGTGTCCACCATGTACTCAGTTTTGAATGATTTAGTTCTAGTTACTGGAAAAATTAATTAGACTTTACCACTACCTCCGAGAGCAGAACTTCATCTACAGTAATTGTGGTTTGCAGTTCTGAGTTTTGATGGTGGAAATGATTTACTTCTATTTACTTAGGACTTTACATGTTATTTTTAATTCCATTTTCTCAAAGCTTCTCCACTTGCCTCCTCAAAGCTTCTCCACATCTTTTTCATTAAACTAAAATGCTCATTTGGTAAGCATAACTAAATATGAAAAATCCAAATGGATTAATATCCAACATAGCCCACCTTTCTATAATTCAAACAGATTAAAGATGCTGAATACATAAAAACATGGTCTTTTTTCTGTCCTCATTTATTAGACAGCCAGCCAGTCAGCATTTTTCTTCTATCTTCAGAAGACATCACTATATTATTTTGCGTACTGAGTACTTGGTATTAAAAACAATAGAAAGTTCTTAAAACCAAATATTTCCAAAAGAGACAACTCATAACTAGAACGTAAGCTAAGTGTAAAAAAAATAATAAAAAATAGCATTGAAAATGTTTGAGTATCAGCTTATTAAGATCTGGCAGAAATCAAATTTGTATAATTTTTATGATATTAAAGAACTGTGACTTCTTATTATATTTCCATAATTATTTGATTAGCTGGTTTACTTCAGCAATAATATATCAAATACCTTGTTTAAAGACAAAACTCACATATAAAAACATCCATTCAGCAGTATTTGATGAGTGCTTATTTTATGCCATGTATGATGCTAGTTCCCTAATACAAAAACACATAAGCTATTCTACCATCCAAAAAGAACTAGTTTGTTTATAGAACACAAACAGATGAATATAATACTATTAAAATGTGAAAAGAGTGCTCTGAGAATATAGAAGATGTAACAAACTACTCTGTTTGGGGTGCTGGGGAAGCTCCCACCGAAATGGTAATATTTGAGCTTCGTCTAGGAGAGCTTTGCAGGTGAAGAGATGGTAGTATAGAATGAAGGACATTCTAGGAAAAATACAACAATGTATGAAAAGGGCCAAAGTCAAAATGTGTCTGGTGTGCTTGGGAACAGTGAGAAATTCTGTGGAGCTGGAGCAGAAAATATGTATGTTTGTGGGCAGATAGGTGGGAGAGGAGATGCGGACAAGAGGGGAAGACAGAAGACATAGGCTGGATCTTTACTGATGACCAGCTAAGGAGGTTGGTCTTTATTCTATAGACAGAAGGAAGACCATTTGTAGTTTTTAGGAGGTAAATGCCATGCTCATGTTTTATTTAGAAAGAAGCCAAATAGTGTGTTGGCTAGATTAGAGCTCGTGAGATCTGATTAGAAACATTTGCAACAACCTGGGCAAGAATTAGTAATGGTCTGATTAATGTGGGAGCAGTAGGGTGAGAAGAGACAGTTTCAAGAGCCATTTAGGAAGCAGCGTCAATAGTATTTAGTCACTGATGGGATGTGGGGAATGAGAATGAGGGAAGAACTAGGTGACTATTCAGTTTCCAGGTTAGGACACTAGATGTGTTAGTGATGTCATACAGTTTATAGAACCTGGTTTGGAGGCGAGAAGAGGGTAGAGCTATTAATTTGCTTTGGGCATGTTAAGCTTGGAATCCTTTGGGCCACCGAAGTTGAGTTGTCCAACAGTCAGATGGCCGTACCCGTTTGCAGCCCAGAGAGGAGTTAGCACCAGGAATAGAGAGTGGCTGAAACTTTGGGAGAGAACGGGATTACCCAGAAGAGGCATGGAGCATGAGGAGGAAACTGAACAATAGATTACATTTAAAATTCTTCTGATAATAGGACAGCATAGTTCTCATCACATCTTCAAAGTTAGCTATAAACTATCCACTACCACTGTCACTCAAGTTTGTCCATGTTTTTGAACAACATTTTTTTAAAAAACAACTTTGAAGATAGTGTGTCTTGACCACCAGATGAACTGTAGCAAATGTTCAAGTTTTCTTTCTAACTTTCTGCTGTGGAATACTGCTCTACCTTTGGCCCAAATCAAAGACGCATAAATGAAAAGAAAATGATGTATTCAAAGTACAGATTTAAGGTACCTCCTGATTATACAATACTTATACTGCCAAGGTGCCTGCCATTCTATTCATGTGCTATAGGTTTTCAGCATTTACTAATATAAAAGTCATTGCCCTTTGACAGTCAGAATGTCAGCTGGACAAGTTTGCAATGTGTATTAAGCCCCCGTTTCTTGTTTCTGTTTGCTTACATTTTTATTTTCTTGCATTCTAGTTTCTTTTTCCCAAATTTGAAAAATTCAAACCTACAGAAAAGTTATACAAATAGTACAATTCCACAAACATCTGTATACCTTTCATCTAGATTTCCTGCTGTTAACATAGTGCCATATTTTTATTAGCTCATTCTGTTTAACTTCACTTTGTTTTATTTTGGTTGAACCATTTGACAGTGAGTTACAGACATCTGACATTTTACTCCTAAATATTTTTACTTCTTACTACTTGAATGTCAGTGCCTGTGGGCTCTAACAATGAACATAATATATATATTTATATTTATTAAATGGTGAGTCCCTACTGCCTTTTCTAATTCCAATCCATATACTACAGGATTCTCTCTCTTTCTCCCATTCTCGGATTATACCTTTCTTCTCCCACAGTGAGAACCCTGGTTTTCAAGAACATCACTCTATCATTCACTTGCTCAATCTTAAAACTCAAAATAGTTGTGGAATTACTACATCAATATCATTACAAAAAATAAACTAACTAAATACATTTCAAAACTCCGTCACTGTTTTTGTTTTGTTTTGTTTTGTTTTATCTTTAGACTATAGTCCAGAAAAGGTATACTGTCCGAGTTCTTGGTTGAAAGTTTCTTGGGTTAATTCTTTTTCATTCATTCCTGTTTGATATACATTTATGTTCATTTGTTTCTGTTTGAATTCAGTTTTACCAATCTTTTATCCTTGTTTACTTTTTTTTTTTTAATATATAAAATGTTAACATGGTTCAAAAGTCAAAACTCCATTTTAAAAGTATTCTCAGAGATATCTCATTGCCTTCCACTCACTCTCGCTCACCTCTCTACATAGTTTCTGGTTTCTCCTTCCTGTGCTTCTTTGTGTAACAGTACGCAGATGTACACACACATTCGTATTTACTTTTCTTGCACAAAATATAGTATTCTAAATACATTTGTCTTGTATTTTTTTTTTAAACTGGAAATCACCCAGTGCTGGTTTACAGAGATCTTCCTGATTCTCTTTCACAACTGGCTAGCAATCCACTCCATCAGTGTAGCTCAGTTTATGATGCATCTCCTACGTGTGGTCTTTAGGTGGTTTCCACTGTTTTGTTATTACAATAATGCTAAAATGAATAATCCTTGGTAGTTCTTCTTCTCCTCCTCCTCCTCCTCCTCCTCTTCCTCCTCCTCCTTCTTCTTCTCCCTCTTCTTCTTCTTTTTGTATTGTTGGAACTGTAGCTTCAGGGTTAGAGTTGCTGTATCAAAATGCAGATTTGTTAGTTTTGCCAAATTATCTTCCATAAGAATCATACCGTTTTATGCTTCCGCCAGCAATGTATGGGAATACCTATTTCCCCATAACCTCAATAACCAGGTATGTTATCAAACTTTTGAAATTTTTTTATCAGTCTGATAGTTGGCATAGGTAATCGACATGATTAGAGAACATTAAGTGTAGTATCTTTTTTCTAGTCAGAGACCCTTTCTGTCTCCCCCAGCCTCTCACCTCCTGCCCCCGCCCTGATTTGTGCATCGTGTTTGTGTTTGAGTGTGCCTGCAGCCTAATTTCAGAGTGCCCAAGTCCTATAGATGAATTAGATCTTAGGAATCTTTATTTTAATGATGAAACTGAAGCCCCTAAAGCCTACATTGTGGCAAAGATAAAGCCGGAACCCAGGTGTCCCTATTTCTAACGTGCTTTTCCATCAAACTACTAACTTATACTCAATTCCTATTTTTCTAGGCCAGGAAAAAAGAAATTTTCTGATTAAAGAACATATTTGAAAAATACCTAGCAAAGTATATGCTACGTAGAAGGCATTCAAGAAATATTGTTTAACTCTGTGGCAGCATTAATAAAATTTGAAGTCAAGTGGAAATAAACACTTTTTAAACATTTAAACATGGTCAACTTGTAAACACGTTTGCCAAAGTTGTTACTTAAGATAACTGTTTCCACTTAAGCACCATCTAATTGTTGCTTTAGAAATTCAGGGAGTGGGCAGCTTTATATATAATTGATCACAAGGGAATTTTTAAAATGACTTTATACATTCAAAATATGTTCAAAAGTGAATATGTCCGTAAGTATACCCATTGCTTCCTAAAATTTGTTAATATATGCATTATAAAAAACAACACATCACCTTTTTCAAGTTTTACTTTTTCATTTTCATTGTGTCCTCACTCATGCAACCAGTGCAAAACTTTCTAAAACTTAAGTTGTTTTCTTGGGCCCCAAAGTGAAGCCTGTCACACCCAAGCCTTGTTTAATGTATGGCTATGCATATGTCTGAGGCAGTGTGTGATTTTTTTAGGCAGTGGTAGAAGCCAAGAAATTAATCCTGGGAGGTCTTGAAAAAGCAGAGAAGAAAGAGGACATCATGATGTACCTGCTGGCTCTGAAGAACGCCCTGCTCCCAGAAGGCATCCCGCTCCTCCTCAAGTACGCAGAGACCGGAGAGGGGCCCATCAGCCACCTGGCCACCACCGGTCTCCAGAGATACGACGTCCCTTTCATAACCGATGAGGTAAATTCCCCGAGAATATCTGCAAAATTCACAAAAGGAAAAAAGCGTGCCTAAACATGAGTCAGATGCAAACCTCTCTGAAGTCATCCTATTTTTCCTGAAACTTCCAATTTGTCTTTCGTGTTTAGAAATACCTGCTAAGTTGGATTTAAAGTTATTCTGAAGCAACCTCACTCTTGAATAGAAAATGTCCTATATCCTTAAGCATAAATATTAAAACATATTCTTTTACATTAAGAAACAAACTATTGCCCTGGCCGGGTAGCTCAGATGGTTGAAGCATCATCCCGTGCACCAAAAGATTGCAGGTTTGATTCCCGGTCAGGACACATACCTAGGTTTCAGGTTCCGTCCCCGGTTGGGGTGCATATGGGAGGCAATGGATCAATGTTTTTCTCTCATATTGATGTTTTTTTCCCTTCTTCTTATCTGGAAATCAATGAAAAAACATTTGTTCAGGTGAGGATAAAAAATTAAAAAAACAAAACAAAACAGAAAAAAAAGTATTTTCAGAAATATCTTTATTTCTATAAATTTTAAGATGCTGTTAAATATTTTGACAGCAAAATATCTTGGCTTAAGTATTGCTATATTGGCTCCTACAGCTACATTTTCAGGCAGCTATCTAAATTAAACTTTTATTAAGGCACAGGTTTGTAAACCTCAAGCTACACAACTACCTGTTGAGAATGATGTTTCCAGTTTGCAGATAAACACCCTTCCATTGGTTTTGTGTCATAAGCTGCAAAAACATGATGGTTAGGGTCAGAGGCTTTTGAGACATACAGACCTACATATAAATTCTGGCTTTATCTACTCCTTCCTAGTTATTTGTTCTTAAGTGAGTCACTTAATTCCTATATACTGAGAACAAGGCCAACATTTGGGGGAGAGAGAAAAAGGCAGAGGGAAGTAGAATTGAAAGAAATATCTATGAATGCCTAGTATGGAACACCATACACAGCATATTATTAGGCAATGCCTGTAACCAATAGAATTATTTGTTGCTACAGAATACAATTGTATTGGCAAATTTTCTTTGGTGTTAATGTTTATTTGTTTGTTTTTTAAGTTCCCTAATGTAACCTATGGACTTCCAGTGATAATGATGTGTCAATATAGGTTCATCAAAGGAGGAAGAGGTTGTGTTGGGTAGGGGAGGGTATATAGGAACTCTCTGTACTTTCAGCTCAAGTTTTCTATGAACCTAAAATTTCTCTAAAAATAAATACTATTAATTTTTTAAAAAGGAGAAGGGAAGATTCTGAAGTTCTTCATTGTAGGGAAATACCAGTTCTTATAGTCATCTCTCCCCAGAGCCCCATTGCCACATGGCAGTAGTATCTTTAAAAAAAAAAAAAAAAAAATCTGTATTGCCCTGGCTAGTTTGGCTCAGCAGTTAGAGCATAGGCCTGCAGCCCAAAGGGTCATGGGTTCGATTCCCATCAAGGGCACATACCTGGGTTGTAGGTTCAATCCCTGGTCCTCGTCAGGGTCGTGCCAGAGGCAACCAATCGATGTGTCCCTCTCACACCAATGTTTTTCTCTCTCTCTCTCCTTCTCCCTCCCTTCCACTCTATCTAAAAGTCAATGGAAAAATATCCTCGGGTAAGGATTAACAACAACAACAATCTATATTAGTTAGGTAACATCACGATCTGCTACAATAACAAATGATCTTCAAAATATCAGCTTATCACAAATGTATTTCTCATTCATGCTATACCTAATGTGTGTAAGGGAAACTGTGGCCTTAAATTCACTACAGTAGTGAAAGAGAGGGGAGAAGGTATACCAGCTCTTAACTGCTTCAGCCCAGAAGCTACGCAGAACTGTGGCCCCTACCTAACTGCAAAGGAACCTGGGAAATAAAGGCATGTGTATTTTTTAAAATTATTTTTAGTCTTCTCTAGAGGATTTTATTGATTTTAGAAAGAGAAGGAAGGGTGAGGGAGAGAAACATCAACATGAGAGAGAAACATTGATTGGTTGCCTCCTGTACATATCCTGACTGGGAATCAAACCCGCAACCTAGGTGTGTGCTCTGGCTGGGACTCGAACCCATGTTCTTTTGGTGTCTGGGATGATGTGTCCACCAAGTGAGCCACCCAGCAGGGCTAGGAAGGTGTATTTTAAGAGCACTATGTTTGCCATAGTATCAATTTTACAAATCTGGATGTGTACTTATAAGTTTGAACATCTTATGAACAGGTGAAGAAGACTTTGAACAGGATATACCACCAGAATCGCAAAGTTCATGAGAAGACCGTGCGCACTACTGCAGCTGCTATCGTTTTACAGAACAATCCATCCTACATGGATGTGAAAAACATCCTGCTCTCTATTGGGGAGCTTCCCAAAGAAATGAATAAATACATGCTTTCCGTCATTCAAGACATCCTACGTTTTGAAATGCCTGCAAGGTATGATACACTGCACTTGTCCCTTTGCTTATTCAGGTTTGTCTGTATATTTGTGTGGTACACATGTGGATGATGATAATGGTGAGGTCACTGTGCTGGGTTGTATTACAGTAAATAATGAGTTTGCCAAATTTCCCGTGGGAGAACTATTGAGTGGACCAAGTGAAACAATTTCATTTTGGCATGATGATTTGGAGTTCTGGGTGTGATTTCACTCTGGTGTGATTTCACTCTAGTGTGATAAACACATATTACCAAATATTAGTTGTGTTTTAAAATCTAACTCTATTTTCAATTGGACTCTTTTTACAAATAGTACTACCAAAGGATGTTAGGTTCTCACAAAATGGTCCCTTGTCTTAACTTTCCAAATGTTAGAAATCTTTGAAGCCTCGTATCACAGATCAAAAGAATTTACCATTTAAATGCAAAACCTTAGGCGTGGCCCACCTTTAAGGACCACTGGAGGGATGAAGAATGGGACTGGCCGACTTCATTGCTCTGTTACTCTTCCTGGACTCATCTTGCTGTTGGCTCCCAAGTCTCTTCTGAAGTCACTGATGTCCCTCTTCCAAGTGGCTCTCCCCAAACTCTCTACACCTCCTCCCTGAAACAGAGGGTCCCACAGGGAATTCCCGTTTCCCCTGAGTCACATGCAGAGCTCTGCCCCCGGAGAGATCCCATCTGGGTGTGACCAGCTGCAAAGAAAAACAGAAATGGGGAGGGAGGAAGATGAAGAGGAATGGGAAAAAATAAAAGGCAGTGAAAGATTGGAGGAAGGAAGAACAAGAACTGAGAACAGTAAAGGAGAAGAACGGGGGCTGGGCGGGGGGGGGTGAACAGGTGAGAGTGAAGAGCAGGAGAAATAAGGCAGAAGAAGGAGCCGGGGTGAGGGAGGCAGGAAGCAGAGGTGCATCACCGGTCGGGGACCTGACGGCTTCTGTCGCTGTGTGTCCTCTTACGATTCTCAGAATCAAGAACTTCAGAGATGAAAGGGACATTAAAGCTATCTTGCTTGCGGTCTCACTCCAGTGTGGGGGTCTAGTCTCCTGGCAGATGGTGCCCAGACTTTGCTGGTGCCTCTCCAGGGGCAGGAGGATCACCTCCTCTGAGGGAACTTGTGTCGTTGTTCAGAGACTTACCATTACTTTTTTGTGTAACTGAAGTCTTCCTGTTGGCCCTAGATTTATCCCTGGAGAAAAACAGAACAGGTATGCTAACTTAGCCACATGCAGGCCCTTTCACTCTTCGAGGAAAGCTGTCATGACCATCCTCATCTTTTCTTCCCCAGGCTGAAACCTTCCACTTAGTGATGACAGGGGAGAAAAGACTCTAAGGTCACCATTCCCTCCTCTAGGAATTTTCTACCTCAGATCTAGGTCCAGATCTCTTTAGCTGATTTTTTTTTTTTCTGTACTGTTACAATTTTAGAATTACTAATATGATTAGTATTAAGCACTCGGGAACGGAAAGATCTCAACACTAATTAGATACGTAGACAAGTAGAGGCATGGGATAAGGTTCAAGACTTACTTTAGAGGAAACAATGGTTTCTTGTGGATGTAGCTGAGATTTTTTAAAACTGCGTGAACATGAAATACATTTCTGGAAGTTTACTGTTATATACAATTAGCCAGTGATAACATTAAGGGGTGCAAGAAAATGTTTAAGAAACTATTGGCAGCCTCTCCAGTTCAGTACGGCTTTCTTTAAAAGTATACACTGTTTAACAAGGAAACCAAGATGATTAGAAGAACCAGTGTTTTCCACCCCTGAGGTGTGTCCTCCCGGGCTCCAGCCTGCGCACAGCGGGCGTCCTGTCCTCCGAGGAAGGAAGGGGGAGCCCTGACCTGCCCTCCAGCTGGCACCGCCCAGTCCTGGGGCAGCAGGAGGCAAATCCGGCCCCTGCTTCTTCCACCGAGGATTTGGGTTTTTTCCAAATCCTACTTGGGAAAGCAGCTTTTTCCTTTTATGTGTTGCAGCAAAGTGATCCGTCGAGTTCTGAAGGAAATGGTTGCTCATAATTACGACCGTTTTGCCAAGAGTGGATCCTCTTCTGCCTATACCGGCTACATAGAACGTACGTAACCCTAAAGGGGCTCTCGCCCGGTCCCCTCCCCAGCTTGGTACTGTGCAATGGTATTCAGTTACAGACTTGGGTTTGTTTTGTTTTTTTTTTCTTTTTTTGCCATTAGGTGGTCCCCATTCGGCATCTACCTATGGTCTTGACATTCTGTACTCTGGCTCTGGCATCCTAAGGAGAAGCAACCTGAACGTGGTTCAGCACATTGGGAAGGCTCACCTTCATGCTAGCCAGGTAACTCGTTATCCATGGATTTTGCTGGATAAAGTATGTAAAAAATTAATTCGAGGTAAAATAAGATATACACTGATGGTAACACTATAGAATGCGTAGGTGAATGGTATGTCACCCATGGTTTAATCATCTGCAAGAGGCTATATGGGTTAGAGTCCTAGAGAGAATTTCAAATATGAACTGGAAATCTAAGTGTTCCATTCACTGGGCTTGCCAAAAGCCCATTTGTCTTTTCAAAGGTATACATAATCACAGAATTGAAATTGTGCCAGTATTTTTCACGTGTTTTTGTTTTTTATTTTTCTTTATTGATTTTGAGAGAGAGGAAGGGAGAGATAGAAACATCGATGAGAGAGAACATCAACTGGCCGCCTCCAGCATGCCCCCATAGGGATCGGGCCCACACCCCGGGCATGTGCCCTGACCGGGAATCGAACCTCCTGGAGCATGGGTTCATGCTCAGCCACTGAGCCACACCAGCCAGGCTCACATGCGTTTTTAAAAATATGTTATTTTTATTCATGGATCTATATCTTAGAGCTCCAGATATTTAATTCTAGAATATATTTTCTTTCTCTGGGTGTTTCTCTGAAGAGATTTATTCCCCACAATAAACACTTTGATAACAGAATATGGCTTTCTAAAGAGTCCATCTATGCTTTTCTGATACTGCTAGGAGAGAAAAGATTAAAGTGTACGCATTTGACAGCTTCCTTTCGTTTTATCTAAAGTTTGGTGACACTTTGTGACAGCTTTCTAATTTGGAAGTATGCTTTCTTTTTAGTTTTCATTTATATCAAACAATAGCCCACTAAATAAGCTCATTTAGGCTTAAAAATGATCCAGTGCTACATAACTCGAGTTCCTATCAACATTATATTACTACACCCTTTGATAGAACTCTAGTCAGAATACCATGCCCTTCCGTTTTGAGGAATCACCATCTGTTTTCTGCTAGGCAGGCTGAAATGCCACACACCCAGTGGCGAAGGGCTCGGCAGGGAGGACAAACATATGTCGGATGCCTGGGTGTGACAGAGATCAGGGTATGAGCCCCCTCATGGTGCTCATCGTATTTCCTTTGAGCTAGAGAAGAAAGGTTAAACCGAAAGGTGTCAGTCATGGCTTAGAGAGACCCACACCCTCTCCTCGAAGCAGCCTTAGGGTGACTCTACCAACACCGCTCCACCACCTTTCAGGGGCCCGACACCACAGCTGATCCATTCCTTACGACTGTTCTGGAGACACTACGAGTCTCTGGATGACACCGAACAATGGAAAGCCCGAGGCCTTTGCAGTTAGTCACAGGGGTTTGAATCCTGCCTCGGCCATTTGAGCTTTTTTTGGTGTCTCTCTCATCTACAAAATGGATCAAATCATATGTACCTCAAACGGCGCCTGTGAGGATTAAATGAAGAAAACTCACTCACTTTATCTTCAGGCGTAAAGTTGTTTCTTGTTTTGGCCTAGCTGCAGCAGAATTTTTCATTATTAACCCCGAGGAAAGTTCTAGCTGTAGCGCACCATCACTTACGGAGCAGGCAAGGAGCTTATGTTATGAATGTTATATCCATTTTCCTTAGGTGGTCATTGAAGCCCAAGGACTGGAGGCCTTAATTGCCGCCACTCCCGATGAGGGGGAGGAGAACCTTGACTCCTATGCTGGCCTGTCAGCCATCCTCTTTGACGTCCAGCTCAGACCTGTCACTTTCTTCAACGGATACAGTGATTTGATGTCCAAAATGCTGTCTGCATCTAGTGACCCTGTCAGTGTGGTGAAAGGACTTATTCTGCTAATAGATCATTCCCAGGTAATTCATTTATTCTGTAAATGTTTAGTGAATTCACCAGGTACATTTTAAATGTGGCCTATGCTTGGAGGTTCCAAGACACAGTTCCCCCCATTCTGGAGCTTGAATTCTAAGCATTCAGCCTCTTGGTATTGTTGCCTGTTCTCCTTTGCTATAGGTAAGCAGGGTTTTCTTTTGTCTTTATTAACTGACTAAGACATCTCCTCGCTGTTGAGGCGGAAGAGAAAATACTCAGTGTAATATGAGTATAGTATAATGTCAGTTATATCTCAATACAACTGAAAAAAAAAATACTGATGCTAACATAAACAAGAAATTATGGAGGAAATAACCTAAGATAAAACAGAGCAGACATGGCATTATCTGTTCACTTGGCTTTCCTGGGCACGAGGGCTTAGATATTTATTCTACAGGCAGGAGCTAAAGCACATGGCTTCATAAGTTACTGGTGATATTTGTCATGATAACGATTATGAAGCTCCATGTAGTACATCATTCTGACCCTGCCAAATTCATAGAGGCACAACCAATCATTGACACCAGCCACAGGTTTCATGGAGACTTTTTGCCCCAAACTCTCATGTTCAAAGAATCATAGAAAGATATAACCATTAGTTAGTAGAGAACAGGAGAACTTTCATTCACTTGAACTGCATTCTTCAGAGTGTTTTTCAATTTCTCACCCCCAAATCTTAAGCTGTTGTGATAAGGTATGACAATACTGTCTTCTGTGCAGTAAGATTGAGGTGACCAAGACACTATGGACGGGAGTGGTCTGTCTCAGTGGATTTTCTGGGCAATGGAAAGAGTTGATCTGAATAAACTTTGCGTTGAAAGACTTGATGGTTAAAAAAAAATTTTAATGGCTTGACTCATTTCCTGCCTTACTAAGCATAGCAGTATAAAAATATTTGTAAAATAAGGGTCCTAAAGGAAATCCTCAAAGTGATCACTTTGTACTCTAATTCATATTTATTATATTAGAGATATATATGAGGAGATTGGATAAACATTTATAGACTATAAGACTTGCTTGGGAAGTTTGCTATTGTGGTTTAGTAAATTCATGAGTAATAACCCAGGTTTGAATTTTGCCCCTACGAATTACTTTCTGTGTGCTCTCGGGAAGGTCCTTGATGGCTTTAAACCAAATCTCCTTCTAATGAAGTAAGGCATTTGGAACAGATGATCCAATGCTTTTACCAGCTTTATTCTTTGTCAGATAATTTGAGGATTCTGTTTTGTTGGGTTCTGGTTATGAAATCATAGATTTTAAGATCTGTGAGAGGCCTTAAATATCAGATTTTACTAAAACTCCTCCAAAACATCATAGGTAGAAACTAAATGTTAATTTCTTATCTTTACTATTGCTCATAGCAATTCAGGATATCTGTATATAACAACAATAAAAAATAATTTACGGTAGTGTAATCAAATAGTTTGATTTTTCTCATGCCCCAGGTATTTGGAAGTTGTAATCCAGTAGGTGATGCATCGATATAGAAATCCTAAGTTATTATCAGGATCCTGGCTCTTTTTCTCTGAGCTCAGCCATCATTACTTGTGGCTTTAAACTTGATCTTTGTCACCTCATAATTATCAGATGGCGGCTGTACTTCCAGCACTATTACCTCAATCCAAGAAGGAAGAAGGGAAGGGTAAAGGGCAGTAGATTCTGAGTCTTTTTCAGGAACTTCCCTGAGGCCCTATCGATTCCTCCAAAAGCTAAGTATGTACAAAAGGAAGCCCTTTTGTTATTGACTGAAAGTATGTCATGTGGATGTCTCTAGCTGCAAGGGAAGCTGGTAAATATACTTCTTCGATGGTTGAATAGACACCCTGAACAAAACTGTTTCTGTTACTGCAAGTGCAAAGAACAACCAGCAGAGCTTCTCATATCTCTGAATCCTGAAGGTCACACATGTAAAAACAATTCTCGTATTATGTACATTTCTTTTGCAGTATTATCTCTGGGGAGATTCAGTCTTAATGAAAGAATCTCTGAAGATGGCATAGGAGTGCTGAGGCTCTAGTTTATATTTTCAGCCATAGGAATAATAATAGTTTGACACCATCTGTATGTGCTCAGCTACCCATCAACAATGCCTAATGGACTGAATCCAGATATAAAACTTGATATAAACATAAGTAGTAACCTAGATCAAGGTTGGCAAACTTTTTAAGTAAAGGGCAGAAGGCTTTGTGGACATGTCTCTGCTGCAACCACTCAGCTCTGCCATTGTAGAGTGAAAATAACCATCAGCAATGTATTAACAATGAGTGTGGCAGTGTTCCCAAAAACTTTTATATACAAAAACAACCAGTGGGCCTGCAGGCCTTAGTTTGCCAACTCCTGATCTAGATTATTTTATAAGTTTTTTCTATTCATTATAAGGTTTTTCTTTTCATTTGATATAAGGTTTTTCTATTCATTAAGCTAGGGCTCCTACGGCATAGTCTAAGAGAAAGATTGTCCCCAAGCTATTAAACATAACCCAGTGTCTGTATATTTCAGATCGGAGTATTTGGCAGGTCTGGGTTTATTATACAATAAGCTGTTTGAGGCTCCCTGCCCTGCAGGGCACCCAGTAATGTCATCCCAGCTTCAGAGGCACATGGCACTTTAGGTCAAGTGCTGACATTGAAGGAAACGTTGGCAGTGGGTGGCTTGTCGCAGCCACTAGGGCAGATGGAATTACCCCTGCTCACTCTGCTTGCAGCTAATTGGATTACTCTGCAGAGAAGGATGTCTGATGAAGTCAGCTTAGTGGGAAGGGGGTGGGAAGAGCCTCTGTAGTCAGCAGAGAACATATTTTCCTGAATGGAAGCAGTGGAATGAGTTACGAAAATATCAGTGTTCGAGCTGCAGAAAAAACCTTTAGGACCAAAACACCTTTAGGACCAAAACTGAAAGATCAAAGGGGTCACATTAGCTACAAACACAAAGCTTCAGCATCTTGTTTCTGTAGTTCAAAGGTAAAAGTTTAAATAAATGTGCACTCTGGGTCAAACAAGGATATAAAGCTCTGTGTTAACGTTTTTGCATTATTTCTTAGAACGGGCTTCCTTGTGGACAAGGAGACAAAAGACAGTTATGATTTTGTGATAGCCATGCATGGGAATAGAATAGTCTCCCCAACCAGACACAGTCTGGGTGCTCATTCTGGCTCTACATGTGGCCTCTAGGCCTGAGGCTACCTTCAGATAGAATGCCTACCACGGAAGTTTAGTGGGGAATTACATGAGATGTCAAATGTAGTTTTTAGGACACAGTTGGTTTTTAAAAACTGTTAGTGCCACTTATTTTATACCCCTGAAAAATTAGAACCACTGCACTATGTGGTTTCATCCCTTTCATGAAGTAAAAAGTAGTTTGACCTTCCACAGGGGTCAGTAGTCTGTCCTTCTGTGACTGCACATGAGTTCTTCCATGATCCCTTTACATGAGAAGTGGAATCTTCCCCAAAGGCCAAGGCACCTTCAGAACCCACACGGCAATGCAAATGCCCTCTCCCCACAAAAGGCACAGGTCTACTCACTATGAAGTGTTCTTTTCCATGGCACTTGGTGTGTGTTGACATCCACCTAATGTATGGTCCACAGGAAAGCCCAAGTCCACATCACAGACTTCTGCTGAGGTGGGTGGGCTAAGAAGATCGTAATTTTTCCGACTGAGAACCAAGAAGGAGATACAGACAAAGAAATGCTTCTGAGGCCAGGCACATAGTAGGGCTCATTTAGGAACAATCACAATTACAGAACTCTGATATTTTGGTTCTGCTGTTCATAGGCATAGGTGCAACTTTGGACATGATTATTGGGGTTTTATCAGGATAATGTGTGTTCCTTTATATCTTTATATTAGTGTGTTTAGCTCTATGTTGAGAATTTCATTCTTTCATCCAAGTGACTTTCAGACTAAAGGTAGCTTCATGCCACCATGAGACTTTTTTAGTATACTTGGTTGTAAACCAAGTTCTTTGACTGACATTCCCTTCCACGTTTTTTTTTTTGTTTGTTTGTTTTTTGAAAAGTGGAGATAATTCAGGGTGATCAATAGTATCCTTTTTAGAAAGCAAAACTATGCCATTTACAGTTGGTAAAAACACAGTTTGATCCGAGCAGTGCAGTGACATAAAGTTGTTCACCCTGCCAGTTGCCACAAACCTAAGATCTTTGAAGGAATCTCAAAATTAAGGATACTGAGCCTTTCCCCACAAACCATTATCATTTCCAACACTGTCTCCAGGCAATCTGATTCAAATCCAACTGAAGAAGTTTTCAGCCAACATCACCAGAGCTAATGTACATAGAAACTGCAAGACTTAGAGACTAAATGCTGGCACAAACAGCACAAAAAATAAATAAATTTCAGGCAGCTCGGAAGTTGCTTAGGAGGGACTATGTTTGTAAATGAGCATTTTCCCTCTGTGATACGTTGTTGATTTCATGATGGACTCATGTTAATTTGCTGTCATTCTAAATGTCGAACACTGAACAGAGCATTACGCTTAGTTTAATTGCCTTTCCTTCCTTTCCCAGATTGATCTAGGCAATTCCTGGAACTTTTATATTGTACTGGCAGTTTCAGTTGTTTACATTTGACACAGCATATAACTAGAACAGTGGTAAAGGACTTAAAAGAGGTCATCTAGCCCAACCCCTCATCTCTACCCCAAAGCCACAGCTGGATTCCTGATGGAGATGCCTTCATTTTCCCTAATCTGGTGGTTCTGAAATTCGGATGCATCTGAATCACTTGAGGATTTATTACAACATAGACTACTGGGCCCCACCCTCAGAGTTTCTAATTCAGTAGGATTTGCATTTCTAACAAGTTTCCAGGTTGTTGATGTTACTAGTCAGGGGACCACACATGTTAAAAACCAGTTCCTCTCCCAATCACTGTGAGGCAGTGATCGAAAGAAAACACCCTTGTTAATTGTCATGTCCCTTTTCTAGTATTTTAATTGACTACATACTTTAGCAAAGCAAGAATCTACTTCTGGTGATCAGAATTAGGACGTGTTTCCAAGCCTAGAGAAAGATGCCAACATTAACACAGCTCGAATGTTATTATGTAAGCAGGAGGTTGAATGTGCTGTTTGAAGGGGGTTGCTAAATTGTGATTATCATTACTATTATATATTTTTGCTTCTAGGAGATTCAATTGCAATCTGGACTGAAGGCCAATATGGACATCCAGGGTGCTCTAGCCATTGATATTTCGGGTGCAATGGAGTTTAGTCTGTGGTATCGGGAGTCAAAAACCCGAGTGAAAAATCTGTAAGTATATGTATTACTCTATTCAAAGAACTGCAGAAAGTAGTTTTTGGAATTGTTTAACCTTCTGACTTTCCAAAATCTATGCTTTCTCCCCCCCCCCCTTTTTTTATTTGTTTGTTTGTTTGTTTATTTATTCATTATTGAATTTATTGGGATGACATTGGTTAATAAAATTATTTAGATTTCAGGTGTAAAGTTCTATGGTACATCTTCTGTATATAGTTGTGTGTGTTCACCATCCCAAGTCAAGTCTCCTAGCATCACCATTTATCCCCACTTTACTTGATTCTATTTTCTCCCACCCCATTTTCCCTCTGGTAATTATCATACTGTTGTTGTCTGTGTCTGTGAGTTGTTTTTGTTGTTGTTGCTTAATCCTTTCACCATTTTCACCCAGCGCCACAACCCCCTCCTCTATGACAGCTGTCAGTCTGTTCTCTAGCTACGAGTCTGTTTCTGTTTTGTTTGTCTTTCTCTAACTGGCTTATTTCACTTAGCATAATGCTCTCCAGGGCCATCCATGCTATCTCAAAAGGCAAGGTTTTCTTCTGTTTTACAGCTGCATAGTATTCCATTCTGTAAATGTACCACAGCTTTGTTATCCACTCATCTACTGACGGGCACTCGGGCTGCTTCTAAATCTTGGCTATTGTAAATAACACTACAATGACTACAGGGGTGCATATATTCTTTCAAATTAGTGTTTCAGGTTTCTTCAGATATATTCCCAAAAATAGAATCACTGGGTCATAAGGCAGCTCCATTTTTAATTTAATTTTTAATTTTTTAAGGAAGCTCCATACTCCTTTCCACAGTGGCTTCACCAGTCTGCATTCCCACCAGCAGTGCACGAGGGTTCTCTTTTCTCCACATCCTCACCAACACTTGTTTTTTTATTGACTTATTGATGATAGCCATTCTGACAGGTGTGAGGTGATATCTCATTGTGGTCTTATTTGTATTTCTTTAATGATTAGTTACGTTGAACATCTTTTCATATGTCTATTGGCCATCTGTATGTCCTCTTTGGAGAAGTGTCTATTCAGATCCTTTGCCTATTTTTAATTGGATTGTTTATTTTCTGGTGTTGAGTTATATCAATTCTTTATAAATTTTGGATATTAATCCCTTATCAGATGTATCATTGACAAATATGTTCTGCCATTCAGTGAGTTGTCTTTTCATTTTGTTGATGTTTTCCTTTGCTGTACAAAAACTTTTTAGTTTGATATAGTTCCATTTGTTTATCAACATTGATATTTTCTCTTTGTAATCATTAAATCATAGAGTAAGAAATAACCATGGGAAGTCATTCTTTCCATAGCTTCTTATGAGCAGGTCAGTACCTAATGCAACTCAATTAAAAATCTTGATCTTAGATAGTGTGTCCAGTGGATGAGAGGTTCATCTCCTCTTGGTGTTCTGCTTTAATCGTTGACAATGCTGTTAGAAAATTTTACTCTGAAGCAAACTTTTAGCTTATCTCTTTATTTGGGATTTCAAATCTTTTCTCTTTTGCTGTCTTTAGTAGATAAAAATTTTTAAATGGTCACTTTTAGGAAGAATCTAAGTATGAAACATTTAGTCCTTAAGTTTTGTGTTGGCATTCATTTTTTCTAAACAAAATGTTCTCAGCTCCTTTAGTTTTTTTAATGAACCTCTGAGATTAAATGAAAATGTTTTATTTTGAACATAAAACAGTGTCTCTGAACCAGTGTAATAATCAAAGTAAGTATTCTGTTTGCTATAACATTGAAGAAAAGGAAATTGAAAGGCAACTGATTTTTATCTTTTTGGATATTTAAAATATGACGAGGCATAAGTGAGATTGGAGTGATAAAATTAAATGTTTTGGTTTAATTTGAACTATGGATGAAGGAATTAAGAGCAGCTAAAAGGTGGCCCATTGGTGGCCCATGGTGTTACTAAAAGGAACCTAGGAATGAGAAGTGGAGCGGGCACTCAGGGGGTCAGCAATGTAATGTAGGGCTGCCCTTGAATTAGTCATCTGTTTCCTCTCTCTGAAGTATTTCTAGACAGAAGTTCCCCCAAATTACACTGAATTGAAATATTTTGCAGAAAGAAATCAACAATAATAACAACAACAACAAAAATCTGGATTTTTAAAAAGGACACTGTATCCCTAAGAATCTATTGGTATCCACATTGTAGCCAGTGTATTTTCAAATTTTCATTTGTTCATTTAAAAAAATACCTCTTAAGCCTTTGTTGAGTGTAAGATATTAGAAGGTACAGTGAGGTGTTGAGGGATTTAAGCGGCCCACCTCTGACCTACTTTTACACCGACAACAACGGCAGCCTACGTATGCTTTCGGTCGCACAGCAAAAATGAGCACCTCTGTCAAAAAAGCGTGGCCATGCAACTCTAATTCAGTTGTAGGAGTAACTTCCCACAGTATCATTGAAAGTCTACAGTTATTTCGAGTGTTCCTAGAAGTAAGTCTCTACTGAGATTGTTTATCCCCTTTATTTTCATCCAAGCCACGCTCCCTAGCCTATCCGATGTCTGTCCAGTCCTCTGGGCGATTGTTGGAGAATGCAGTCACTCCTGGGCCACCCATTGTTCATGCCCCACTATAGGAATTTTTTTTGTGTGTGACATAATATTTTTTCAAATGGACTTATCTCTCTAAAGACCCTTTGGAGAAAGTGATAAAATGGAATTAAAATAGCTGCATGGAAGCCAACAGAGAAACCAAGAAGGCAAGAAAAGTGTGATCAGCATCAGCTGTCTCCTCGCTGAGTTTAGATAACTCAGGTTGTTTCTGACTTCCTGAGAAGACCAGGTCCCAGGCATATTCACCTCCCGGCCCTTGGTACCCATACCGAACAGTATACCTGACAGACGTTCCATTCCCTCATCTAGAATTGAAGGCTGGGCGCGGGCTCGGGGAACCTTCACTGCCCACTCCTGGGACTAGCCCGGCCCTGGTTCCCAACAAAACTCTAAGCACATTTAGGTCCCATATGAGCTGGCCCCTGACGTGGTTCCTTACAGTCATCAGCATCATGAGTTCAGATGCCGTGAAATTATAGCTGTTAGTCCAGCTCGGTTAAATGTGATATTAACAGGTTTTCTTCTCCCTCAAATCTTTAGGTTGGCCGTAGTAATAACTGGTGACATCACTGTGGATTCCTCTTTCGTGAAAGCTGGTCTGGAAATCAGTGCAGAGACAGAAGCCAGCATGGAGTTCATCTCCACGGTGCAGTTTTCCCAGTACCCGTTCCTAGTGTGCCTGCAGATGGACAAGGCCGAAGCTCCGTTCCGGTGAGAGCAGCGCTGTGGACGGCTCCGGGGCCCCCCCGGTGCGCCAGGAACTTGCTCCCAGTTTTGAACATTCAGTTTCAGAAATTAAAAGAAAATGGTGAAAATCTAGTGAAACAAATGATCTTTAAATTAGTAACAGGATTATTGATCAGGCTAAAAATTAAGTCAGCGTCTAGGATACCGAGAAACTATAATGACTGGTTCATTTGATTCAGGAGATATTATTCTACCCAGAAATAATTCACCAAGGAAATAAGGGGATTTGATGTACCGTAAGAGTTGCCATGTCGTTTCAGTAAAAATGCTGGGCGCGTGTTTACTGTCCGCTATCTTCACAGTTGTCTCCTGGACAGAGTTCAAAACAAAACATCTAATCATTTACCATGGTTTAGGAGCTCAGGTGAATTCACAGCGTTTAGGGAATCCACACACAGCAACTCGACCTTGTTGAAGTTTTGGCTAAAGCATGAGACTTTGAAAGTTTGAATTTTTTTGGAAATGTTTTCAGTAGAATTCTTAGTGTCTCAAAAACAGACTATATAATTGTTCGTGTAACTTTCCCAACACCTCTTCCACTCTAGAGCTTCTCGTTGACACTGTGTCCTTCGAATCTTGTAACCATATTTGTAACAATCCTGTTGGTGGAAGTAGAATGCTTTTGGTCTTGGTAATACTGTTTCCCTGACACATACTACTACTAACAAAGGCAATTTGTATGCTTAAAACAGCAAGTCATGTCTTACATCATCTCCTTTGATAAGTGCGCCAGAGCTGAGCACCTTATACACATTACTGACATTTCATGGTCCACATAAAAACGTATAAATGATATAAGTATAAATATGAGTTGGTTCTATTTCTACAGAATTAAATAGAGTGGATTATAGTCAGAATATTAAACTGTTGCTAATTTATACTCACTTATGTGTACAATAGATCCCCATTAATGCGTTTTAAAAAAATCAACCTTCCAATGGTCAAAATGCAGTAACCACCAATCCAGGCACAGGGCTGGCTGCTTTGGTTGTCTTTGGCACGCCGATCCTTGCTCAGATTGCTTTGAAACAGAAGCTTCAAGTCTAGGCTCCTCGCTGGACTCTGATGGGCGTGAGGTGACTTTAATATGTGTGTGCCGTTGTTCTTGTCATGCAGGCAATTTGAGACCAAGTACGAAAGGCTGTCCACGGGCAGAGGCTACGTCATGCGGAAGAGAAAAGAAAGGCTGGTGGCAGGATCTGAATTCCCTCTTCACCAGGAGAACGCTGAGATGTGCAAGGTGGTGTTCCCCCCTCAGCCCGACAGTGCTGCCAGCAGCGGTGGTTGGTTCTGAAACTGACCGGTGACGTTTCACGTGGAGTCTTCGCCCCCGGAGGGATATGATGTGACACACCTATGTACTTGCTCTCTGAGAGCACAGTGTTTACATATTTACCTGTATTTAAGATTTTTGTAAAAAGCTATGGAAAAACCTCAAACAATCAAATTTGGGCCTATTCAGTGTACTAACCATAGTGTCAATTTTGAGCCAAAATATATGATACTTTTAGCAAATTCTATTTGATATAGTGAGAATTGTTCTTCCCTAAAAAGAATCTATTGTTTATTTTTTTAAAAAACACACACAGACTCAGAAGAACCCAGTTCTGTTTCAGTCATTTTCAGTGTGTATGTAGCCCTCGATAGAACCTTAAACATGGATTGTTTCTAACAAATAGGTCCCCCAATCAGGGAAAAAAACAGACCTTTTTGTGGGGGGCGGGGGAGGATGAGAGTAGAAAGCAAGACTTTTTAAATACTCTTTTCAGTCAGCTTCATGTTGTTCGTTTTACTGAGCATTATGGGAGAAGGCACGCGGCATTAAAACACCATGTCATCTTTCTGCTGACCACGCAGTCCGTCCCCTGCCTTCTGTCCTGCAGAAACGCTGGACCTAGCACATAAGAATTAAAAATACTACTTTCAGAAACTCCATTTGATTTTTGTGTGCTGTGTCTCTTTGAGACTGTAACGTGGTACACTGTCCTTTGTAACGGACATCTTCATAGAGCCATCATTTTATCTTTCATTCAGTTGTTTTGTGGCGAAAGTTCCAGTCTGTTTGCCTATAATCTGTACAAAAGCCAGAATGAGCTTTGAGAAACTGATGGATTTGGACTTCTAAAATATGAAATCAGAAAAGGTTTTTATTAGTACGAATAAAAAGAGGCATGCTAAACGTTTTTAAATATTTATTAATGAAACACATGTTTATAGTAATAAACCCCAAACAGATAACAGAAATTAATTTGTCCATTACACACACACACACACACACACAAGTTTATCTAACCTGTCATTGGCTGTAGATTTAAAATGATGTGTGATGAAATAAATATGTGGAAATCCTATTGAATTCCTTTTGTCTTCTGTTACTTCAAACACCATATTTCTCTGTTCTTGCCAATTTCTCAGCCCAGACACATACACAAGTAGCCTTTGCAGCCCTATGGAACAGGCCAGTGACTAAAAGGAGGTCAGAGCCCTTTGGGAACATGGGCCACTGAAAATAATAGCAGTCAGAACCTCTTAGGACCCATAAGGTTGAAAATGAGCTCTAAGCCCAGTTTTCATGAAGCTCTGGACCAACACCCTTACTGTCATGTTACTGAGAGGAAAGAAAGGAATAAAAAACTGAACAGTGCATGGGGGTGGGTATCATTGCTGGTGGCACGGGCCTTGGAGGAAGCATCTATAAAGATTATAAAGATAGTCCTGCTACAGCAAAAGCAACTTGATCTAGGGCACTAAGCTGAAGATGTTGTGGGCTAAGCAACCTCAGCCATGTGACATTTAACAAATCACAGCTGCTTCTGTGAAATGTAAGACAATAATTCACTTAAGAGTGATAACTGGGGTGTCCTGGACTGTAGTTATGCTACATCCCAACTGCTCGTCTTTCTGGATGAGTCCAACACTGCCACTCATTTGGAGAAGGGATAGTGCTCAGCAACCAACATGTCCCAAAGAAACAAGAAACCTGAAGCATAGAACAAACATTAACTCCCTTCTAGAGAAATGAGATAGAAGGTGAAGAGGAGTGGAGGGATGGTCCGCACTTTGCAATGACATGTGGGAGCCAGAAAGAGAACGGGAAGCTTCACTTGCAGTCCTCTAGCTCTGACCGACTCACTGTGTCAAACAGCAGTGTCCACGTGGCATTGTCCCCTGCAAAGACGCTGTCTGGGAGCTGCACAGCCCTCTGGCCAGTCAGCTCCTTCCTGCAACCTTGCAGGGCTTAGCCTGGCTGCTCCTCCTCTGTGAAGTGCTACTGCCCTTCTCTGTCTCTCCGGGGTGCTGCCTGTGACAAGTTGCTCCCTGCCTTTCTGCCCCCGACCACCTTTAAAAATATTTTTAAAGCTACACGTATTTAGTGCTTATTATGGGCCAGGTGTTTTAAAGGACTTTATGCCTATTAAATAATTTAATTCTCACAACGATGAGATTTAAGAGATAGCATTATTATTTTCATGTTAAAGATCAGCACGGTTCAGTAAGCAATTTTAAATTCCTAGTAGCCACATTAAAAAAATAAATAAATAGAAACAAGTGAAATAAACTTGAACAATATATTTTTAATTAAGTTATCCAAAATATTATCATATCAACATGTCATTAATACAAACATTAACGGGATGTTTGATTTTGGTGGGGGAGGTTCAGGTCTTTGAACTGTGGTATACATGTTGTGTATACAGCACATATTGGCTTGGACTGCCACATCTCCAGTGCTCCGCAGTCATATGCTGCTAGTGGTTCCCACACTGGACAGTTACAGAGAAGACATTTGACCCTACAGAAGACACTTCTCCACTAGAAAGCGGTAAAGCTAGACGTCAAATATAAGTTGTCTCCTCCGTTACCAGAGGAAATGGGTTCTTCAGCCATGTCACAGGAGAAGAATGTCAGGGACACTCACGTAGGAGGATTTTAAGTGATAGTAGCAAGATTTATTAGAGCAAAAAGTGCTAGTACACTCTCAGGGAGGGAGAGAGCAGCTGCCCCGAGGTGCTGGCTAAGCCTCCGCACATTTCCTGGGGTTCGGAAGGAGCGGGCTTTCTTTCAAACTATCCAATTTCTTTCTGGGCTTTTCCAGGGCCTGTACCCTTCCCCATCGATATTTTCCCCGGTTCCCCCACTATTTATTTATTTATTTATTTATTTATTTATTTATTTATTTATTTTCTTTATTGATTTTAGAGAGAGAAGAAGGGAGAGGGAGAGAGAGATAGAAACATCATGAGAGAGAACATCGATTGGCGGCCTCCTGCAGCCCAACCACTGAGGCACCCCGGCTGGGCTCCTTCCCCTTTTATGGTCAGCATTTTGGCCCCTCCTGCACAGGACTCATAGTTGTGCTTCATCAGTGCCTTCTACCTTCATGCGCTCAGTAAAAGAGATTCCTTTCCGCTGTTTTCTCCTCCAACCAACCCGTTAATGACGCTTAGTTACCCCTTGGGGTGACTGAAAATCTTTGAAATATACATTTTGTGTATATAGCACATACCAGTTTGTATAAACTTTTGAGTGGGTATACTTTTCATTTCTCTTGGGGATATACCTAAGATTAGAATTGCTAGGTCAAATGGTGACTTCATGTTTAACTCTAAGAATTGGCAGATTATTTTCCAAAGTGATTACACCATTTTAAATTCCCATCAGCAGAGTATGAGGGTTCTAATATTTCCACATCATCTATAATATGTGTTATTACCTTCCTTTATTATTAGAAGCATCCTAGTGAATGTAAAGGGGTATTTTCATTATGGTGTGACTTGCATTTGCCTAATGACTAATGATGTTGAAGATCTTTCAATGTACGTACTTATCAGCCATGGCATGTTATTGCATCTTCTTTGGAGAACTGTTTATTCAGATCCTTTCGTCGTTTTAAAAATCAGGTCATTTTTCTTTTTATTATTGAGTTATAAGATTTTAAAATATATCTTAGGTATAAGTCCCTTATTAGATATGTCATTTGCAAATATTTTATCCCATTCTGTAAGATATCTTTTTACCTTTTTTTAATTTTGGTGAAATCCAATTTATTTTTTCTTTTGTTGCTTGTGCATTTTTGGTCATATCCAAGAAACCATTGCCAAATCCAGGTCACAGGGATTTACCCCTATGTTTTATTCTAAGAGTTTTAGTTTTTAATTTATGTATTTGTTCCATTTTGAATAAATGTTTGTATGCATGTAGTAGGGGGTCAAAATGCATTCCTTTGTACATACATGAATATCCAATTGTCCCAGCAGCATTTGTTGAAAGATGACTCTTTCTCCATTGAATTGTTTGGGCACCCTGTTGAAAATCAACTGACTGCCCGGTCGGTGTTGCTCTGTGGTTGAGCATCGACCCATGTGTCAAGAAGTCACCAGTTTGATTCCTGGTCAGGGCACATGCCCAGATTGTGGGCTAAATCCCCAGTGGGGAGCCTGCAGGAGGAAGCCAATTGATGTTCTCTCTCATCAATGTTTCTATTTCTCTCTCCCTCTCCCTTCCTCTCTCTCTAAAATCAATAAAGAAAAAACATTTTTTTAAAGAAAATCAATTGACTGTAAATGCAAAGGTTCATTTCTTAATTGTCAGTTTTATTTCATTAGTCTATATATTTGTCTTTATGCTACTACCATACTGTCTTAATTACTGTTGTTTTGTAGTAAGTTTTCAAATTGGGACATGTGAATCAACCTACGTTTTTTGTTTTTCAAGATTGTTTTGCCTAGTCTGAGTGTCTTGAGTTCCCTTTAAATTTCAGGATTAGTTTGTTGTCTTCTACAAAGCTACCTGGGATTCTGATAAGTACTGCATTGACCCTGTATATCAGTATTAGGAACACTGCCATCTTAATTAATATTAAGTTTCCTGATCTATGAACATGGGGCATCTTTCCACTTACTTAAATCTTTCTTACTTCCTTTCTATAATGTATTGTAATTTTCAGGGTATAAGTTTTGAAATTCTTTTTTAAAATTTATTCCAAGTGTTTCACTATGTTTGATGTTATGGTAAATGGAACTGTGGGTTTTTTTGTTTTTTGTTTTTTTCATTTTTGGACTGTTCATTGCACGTGTATAGAAATACAAAAGATTTAGAACTTTCTGTATAAACAATCATGCCATCTATAAACAGAGTTGTTTTATTTCTTCCTTGCTAATCCAAATGTGTCTCATTTCATTGTATTGCTTAATCTCCCTGGCTAGAGCCTCCAGGACGAGGTTGAATGGAGTGGTGAGAGCGGACACAGCAAGGGGAACGGTGCTGCTGAAGGTGCTGATGGGGTGACAGCAGTGATGGACAATGATGACCACAGAACGTGAGCAGAAGGCCCAGATCATTTCTCAGTGGTTCTAGTTCTATTTTCATGAAGCAACATACTTGAAATTTTATAAAATCTTATTCAAAAGCTCAAAGCATTTAAACAGTCTAAATGCCCTTGGAACTTGAAGTGTCCATCCCAGCATTAAGAATCTGTTATAG